CTTTTTATCGCCAGAACAAGCTGGAGATTGTTTAATAGGGATTAGGGAGCCGAGAATGTAGGCTTGGATTAAGTTAAGTTGTGTGTTTTGTTGTTAAGTTAGCTCAACTTCTTAATACAATACTACACAATACTAGGCTCTAGTATTGTGTGTGTCGCATTGTGATTATCGTGCTGAATAAGCCAAATCCGATGGATAACTTTATAAAGTTCATTGAGAAAATAGTCACTTCTAGCGATGTTTGCCGATGCACAAACCCCAGCGTGCACAAGCTGCCCAACAAATGGTGAGGTTTTGATTGAAAGCAGATTTTTCGATTTACAATCGCTACAATAGCCACCCTATGCCAGCTTATCTTTCCTATTCAGGCATTTGGTCGGATTGGACGTCTGGGAGTTGCTCGGCGACTTGTGGCCTATTTGGAACAATGACACAGACGAGAACTTGCACATCAGCCGCGTTGGGATGTCCGTGTGATGGGTAAATAATGAAAATCATTGACTCTTTTTGATGCCAAACTTGTTTCCAGTTCGGTCACAAGTCGAACAATCGCTTGCCCGGTGGCTCCACTTTGCACGGGCACAGTTGCTCAACAATGTATGGCCCCGTATGGAAAGGTTGGTAAAAGGGGTTCAAACTATATCAAAATGATAAAAATTTGAACACAATGTTCTGTTATTGGCTTTAAAGTGTTAAGAGGCATCTAAATATGTGTTTCTTTTGAGTAATCGCTTTCTAAGACGCCTTCCAATCAATGTAACGGCTGGTCAAGTTGCTTGCCTGCTTGTCTCTAGAGCGAACAGCTCTAGAGACAGCTTAGACCGCAAGTTCGACCCCCGCTCGATGCCAATTCTTTACCCTTTTTCTTCAAAAACTTTTGGTTCTTTGCTAGATCGATTTAGAGGGTTTTATTTAGGATTTACTAAACTTATCAGCTTTCAAAAGCATAGAAAAGTAAGAAAACTGCTTTTTTTCAACAATAACAGCACTTTTTAGACTACGATTACTTGAGATTTACTTGAAATAAAAATTACTTACACAAATCTGTTCGAGTAAACTTGCTCAAGAGGAACAAAGTCTATTTGAGAGTACAGTCTAAACCGAGCCAGAACATCTAAACCAAGCACGGCCAAGTCTAGGACTGGATTTAGATTTGCAGTTTAGATTCTAGAGTAACCTAGGTAGCGGATTACTGTAACTAACTAGAAATAGAAAATATAATGGTTTATGAAGACCCACGGATGAGATTAAAGCCGAGTTACGGTAGTGTTGGAACATGCTTTAAAACAGAAATCAATCAATCAACCAGAAATCAGAACCAGAAGAGGCTTTTTGCTCGGTTTTATTGGGTTGGTGAATTGAAAACTGCCGAACTTTGAACTAAAATTTATTCAACATAAAACCATGAATTCATTTCAAATAATTTCCATTATTATTGACGTCTTCTGCCCATTTTACAGGCAATTTGCGGATTCCTCTTTCGTGATTTTGGATTTGAGGATTTTGGTTTGTGTGTGAGACAAGTGTGGGACTCAAAGATGGAGGACTGGAGATCTGGAGATGTCACAGTTTGAGCACTTTCTTCAAAAGAAACCCATTTTGGTGTCAATAGAAAAGTTGTAGAGAATCAAAAATTAGGCTTATAGCCAAATTTCAAAAAAGATACACTTAGTAGTTTCGCTTAAAATGCAAGTTGCAAGTAAAAATTCTTAAATTTGGCATTTCTTGAAAACCAGTTTTTTGGATCGTTTTGAAAATTTGGATATAAGCTTGATTTTTGATTCTCTACAACTTTTCCATTGACACCAAAATGGATTTCTTGGAAGAAAGTGCTCAAACTGCCATGTATCACAATAGCCCGCAGTTTTCAATTCACCAACCCAATAGATTAAGATTAGTCTTGATTTGCGGAGAAGTCAGTGCCCAATTTGAGGATTGGGAAACAATCAGAAGATCATTTGAAGGGGGTTATGTAAAAGCCCTGCGCCAGACGACGAGCGATTACACGCCCGCACAAAGAACACACAGAACACACAAATTTTAAGCGAAACTACCAAGTGTATCTTTTTGGAAATTTGGATATAAGCTTGATTTTTGATTCTCTACAACTTTTCCATTGACACCAAAATGGGTTTCTTTTGAAGAAAGTGCTCAAACTGGCACTTATGACAATAGTCGGCGGTTTTCAATTCACCAACCCAATAGCACACTTTTCCACTAAAATTCCAGCAATTATAAGCTGATATTATGTCATTTTTTGTATAAAAAGTTTCTAAAATCAAATTCGGAACTGAAAAATTCAGTGGGCGAACAAAGCGACGAAAAGAAACGAGTGCGGAAATGTGACCTCATCAGCAGATTATGTGGCACCGGCTTGTGTGATGAATGGTTGAGTTTAAAATACACTCGAAATGCAAACCTTGAGTACATTACAGTACTTTTGATTATTGTAACTTTATTCGAAAGTACTATGATTTGTTTATAAATTACAGTTTCCTCTAGGACCCGCTTGTGGCTTCTGCACCTCAGCAACACCAAATCCTCCAATCGTCACAAATGATGATTCCTTCGGGAATACTCCATTTGATTCAGGTGTTGAAACTACTGTAGACACTGGAATAGTACCCCATTTCCCTCGTACGATCGCGTAGTCGCACAAATTTTTAGTACCAGCCTAGTAAACACAACAATTTTTTCCTCCAAAACCACTTTAGAGCTCCGAAACTTGACTTAAAACGCTTTTTCCTAAACTCTCGTTGTGTTTTTTGGAATCTACGCATAAAACTACCCCAGAAAAAGTTGTTTTAAAGAAATTTCATAAAAAAATTACGGTAGTTTGTCATTTATTGATAATATTTTTCAGATGTTGTTACAACTGATTCTAATGGCTGCTCAGTGCGCACACTCACTTGCACCTCAACGGCGACTGTCGATGCGCCATGGCCTGCCAGCATTAGTGTGAGTTTACATCAATCTAATCATCAATCATCAATCCACCCATTTCCTACTGAAAATCGAACTTTGAACTCAAATATCTTGGTGTTGGGCTGTTTAATTTAAATATTCTTAGTATCATTAGATGCGCCAAGTCTTTCTCTGTCGAATGGTATCAAAACAATTTAAATCGAATAGCCCAACACCAAGAAATTTGAGCTCAAAGTTCGATTGCCAATGGCAAAGGGGGCGGAGACCTTTTATACGCGCCCCGCCCCTTTGCCATTGGCAATCGGACTTTGAACTCAAATTTCTTGGTGTTGGGCTGTCCAATTTAAATAGTTTCTGTACCAATTGACAGAGAAAGACTCGGCGCATCTAATGATACCAAGAGTGTTTAAATTGGATGCGCCAAGTCTTTCTCTGTCGAATGGTATCAAAACTATTTAAATCGAATAGCCCAACACCAAGAAATTTGAGCTCAAAGCTAGATTACTAGTGGTCCCGGGTTCGACTCCTCTCGTTGCCAATTCTTTTGCTTTTTGCTGCATTTGTTTGATAGTAAACTTACTATTAGACTACGCGACGTTCCTATAGCGTTATTAGGATTTACGATCGATGCGTATCGTTTAATTTTAAATAGAGAGTTCTGCTGAATTAGCTTTTAAACTTTTAAATGCAAAATGACTAGTAAAGGACTCAAATTACAGGCGAACACCGATGCGACTTTATGCCAGAGCGCTGATGGAGATGATTCATGCAGTGCGGCGATAAATTGCAATACGGACGGAACTGCGTGGACGTTTACTCAAAACTCCGTCACGAATGATATCACAAGACTCGGTTGTCTTGCAGTAAGCTGTGAGAGTTATCCCGATTACTGTTAGAATTTATATTTTTTACTGCCTTTATTGTGGTTTTGCAAAATTTCGTCAAACCTTTTGAAACAGTTTGGCAATAAAATGTGTACAGCTGTTGATTGGAGAAGTGGTAACAACGAGATTTTACGGGTAGTCCGGACCAGGTACAGCAAAAAAAATCGTGCAAAATAAAAGCAAAAATGATCCGCTTTGATGATTGTTGGCTAAACAGACAGGTTTTAAAAATGAATGAACATGAATTTGCTTCATTCTCGAAGAAGTTATAAAAGTTATAAAAGACTTTGCAGTGTAGAAACTTGTTGACCTTGCTGCATTGCACAAAAAAAGCGTCTAGATGTGAATGAACCTGAGAATGAACCTGAGAATGAACCTGAGAATGAACCTGAGAATGGACCTGAGAATGGATCGAGAATGGATCGATTATGGATCGGTTAATGGATTGGTTAATGGATTGGTTAATTGATCGGTTAATGGACTGGTTAATGGATCGGTTAATTGATTGGTTAATTGATCGGTTAATGGACTGGTTAATGAATCGGTTAATGGATCGGTTAATGGATCGGTTAATTGATCGGTTAATTGATCGGTTAATGGATTGGTTAATGGATTGGTTAACTCCGTTAACTTTGGAGAAGTTCCTTTGTGTTAAACTGTTCATTTCCCAAGTCGCACTTGGCATAGCTGACTTCATAATTACTCTGACAATAAGCAAATACAATTTTTGATCGAATTCTTCAGCTAATCATAGAACTTTACTTAACAGAAATATCTATTACAGTACTATCTAGATTCCAGAGTTTCAGATATCTGGAAATTGTATAGAAAACGAAAGATATCTAAATTAGATGTGCTAATCGATCTAATTAAATCGAAACCTAATAGAAAACTAATCGAAATATGCTAATCAATTTATAATTTGTGTCTATATAAAAACTGTTAAAGCTGTAGGAAAAGAATTTGTCTATTCTCTCTTTACAGTAACTTTAAACAGTTTGCTTACTTTAAACTTTAAACTTTAAACAGTTAAACAGTCCGCTAAAGTCTTTATTATTTCACTAAATCAAGAAATTTGGCAAATTTTCATCAAAAATTGTAATGAGATCATAAGTGAAAACATTGGATATGTAATGGAAAGATTTCTTTGGCTTTTTCATTGAACTTTCATTGAACTTCATTGAACTTTCATTGAACTTTCATTGAGAAAGTGCCGGTGATTGTTTCCTCAAAAACATCGGTGAAACTGATCGAGTAGATGAATTCACACTAAAGAAAGAAGATTTTAAAGAAAATACAATTGTTAATCAAATTTTGAATCAAATTTTATTGTAAATCGATTCGCAGAACCGTTTAGAATCGAAAAATATTCCGATTTAACTTCTTTAGTGATTAAATTGAGTTGAAAAATGCAGAATTCGGCTGAAAGTTTTGTAAGCATCATAGTAAACTAATAGATACCAAAAAGCTATTGAAAAATACTGTAGCTATTGAATTTTATACTTTTAAAGATCAACCTCTTGTATCTCGTGATCTAATGGAAGGACGAGAAGAATTGCACGGGAATGAGGAGTGGGATGATTTGAGGAGAAACCCTCCACTCGTCGCCCATCAGACCACAGCAAACGGCTGCTTATTCTCTGAAAAATGATAAGTAAAGGGATTTCAAATCAATATGTGAAAGACAGAGCAAGTCAAGGTCAGCCAACCAGACTCAGGTTTCATTTAGAAACCAGGGGAAAGCTTGAAAACTTTGATTTGATTGTAGCTTGGATCAAAGCACAACCAGGGTTCCAAAAGAAAAGCAAGGTCCCGCTTTTGACTTCCCTTGCCTCGATTTTTCTAGATTTTCAAAAATTCATATAGGGATCCTTAAAAAGACTTAAAAATGAGCAACTTTTCTTGCCTTGCCTGGAAAATTTGAGTTTGGAACATTCCTGGTTTGGAACATTGGGAACATTGGGAACATTGGGAACATTGGGCTTTTGGAACATTGGACACAACCCTCGTATGAGTTTGGAACATTGGACACAACCCTCGTATGAGTTTGGAACATTGGACACAATCCTCGTATGAGTTTGGAACATTCCTGAGCACAACCCTCGTATGAATTCAGGCTAAGCGTGGCTTTTCTTGGAATAAAAAAGTTAACATGCAAAGCTCAGAGGGTCATGTGCTTAAAGTCTTTAAGCACTTCCTGCTTAAAGAGTGATGTCACTTCTCATACTGCTTTCGTCACAAGCACTATAAGTAAAGCATAACCCAATCACCCACTAAATTGTTCGTGTAGACTTGAAGGGCCACATTTTGAAGAGGATGCGTGTTGAAGTTCAACAACGAGATCAACGCTGTTTTCACTCCTGAAAGAGAATAATGTCCCAGCTCCTAATTTAAAAAAGTAATCGTAATTTCATAGTCCAAACGTCGAAGTTTAACCTGTTGTCCCTGGTGGTGAATTCTGACTGTAGTGAAGGATGATCTTGATGTTTTTACGCTCCATTATTGAAATCGGAGACTCGGCGGCTGAAATTTTATTTTAGAAATGGATTTTTAAGATCAGTTTTAAGTTAAAATTTCGATAAACACTTACACATTTGAATCTGTTGTTCAGTGAAAGAAACAGACTCGGGCAGGCAACGCACTGGGGATGATAGAAAAGTTCCCTAAATTTTGGATATTATAAAAGCATTAATGAAATCTGTTTCTTATTACAAGACCTTTAAAATATTCAGTTAACTAATAAAAGCTTATGTTACTTGTTATAATATCGTAATATAATACTCAGTTATCATAGTCGTAACTTTAAAAGTTCGTGCTTTAATCTACAGTACTGGACAACGAAATATGATATTTGAAAAAAGATCGTCACTTTCGTCTGTAACTCTCTTGTCTTTACCGTATTTCTAGATATTAATATTACCATTGTGTAGCCCTTGAAAAGAGCTTTCAGAAAATGTATAACACTAATAGTTTAAACTCAAAGACAAGGGAGTTATAGAGGCGCGAAAGTGACGATCGTTTTTCAAATATCATATTTCATTGCCCAGGACTGTAGCTACAGAACTATAGAGTCTAGCTACAGAACTTTAGCGCTACAAAATTGTATCGGAGGGTTAAGAGCTGATTTAACGTTGGAAACTATCAAATACCTACATGACAAATGGGGAACTTGGAGGAATCTGCACTACTGGACAATGAAATATCAGATTTGAAAAAAGATCGTCACTTTCGCGCGTCTGTAACTCCCTTGTCTTTGAGTTTAAACTATTAGTGTTATACATTTTCTGAAAGCTCTTTTCAAGGGCTACACAATGGTAATATTAATATTTAGAAATACGGTAAAGACAATAGAGTTACAGTCGCGCGAAAGTGACGATCGTTTTTCAAATATCATATTTCATTGCCCAGGACTGTAGCTACAGAACTATAGAGTCTAGCTACAGAACTTTAGCGCTACAAAATTGTATCGGAGGGTTAAGAGCTGATTTAACGTTGGAAACTATCAAATACCTACATGACAAATGGGGAACTTGGAGGAATCTGCACTACTGGACAATGAAATATCAGATTTGAAAAAAGATCGTCACTTTCGCGCGACTGTAACTCCATTGTCTTTACCGTATTTCTAAATATTAATATTACCATTGTGTAGCCCTTGAAAAGAGCTTTCAGAAAATGTATAACACTAATAGTTTAAACTCAAAGACAAGGGAGTTACAGACGCGCGAAAGTGACGATCGTTTTTCAAATATCATATTTCATTGTCCAGTAGTGTACCATCATAGCCGAATGGTTAGGAGTCTTGTATGCTAGTCGGTGGGTCCCTGGTTCGATTCCAACGGATAGAAAATCCATGGGTATACATGAGGTTTTGTCTGTAACATAGGGTATTAGAGTTTTGTATTTGTTTTTCAAATATGATATTTCATTGTCCAGGACTGTACTTTATACCGTAAGTGCTTCAATAGCTACCAATTTTTAAAGTTAAACAAACTGGATACAAATTTATAAACTTTTAGTTTTAAAGCTTTTGAAAATCTGGGCTTACTGTAGCTAGGGCATCAAATAGAAATTTAGGGCAGGTTTAAAAATGATTGTGGGACATTTGATACGCACCCAGCCCTCTTTCCTACTGACAATTTAACTTTGAGCTCAAATATCTTGGTGTTGGGGTATTTCATTTAAATTTCTTGGTATCATTTGATGCGCCGAGTCTTTCTCTGTCAATTGGTACAGAAACTATTTAAATTGGACAGCCCAACACCAAGAAATTTGAGTTCAAAGTCCGATTGCCAATGGCAAAGGGGCGGGGCGCGTATAAAAGGTCTCCGCCCCCTTTGCCATTGGCAATCTAACTTTGAGCTCAAATTTCTTGGTGTTGGGCTATTCAATTTTAATAGTTTTTGTACCATTCGACAGAGAAATACTTGGCGCATCTAATGATACTAAGAACATTTAAATTGGATAGCTTAACACCAAGATATTTGAGTTCAAAGTTAGTACGGTAAATTTATGCAACTCCAGCGCTTTCTTTTGACATTTAAAGCTTTCAAGACCTTCAATACATATTACTTATAACATGTATTGATTTTGATAGATTTAGAAAGCAACAACAATGAAGAAACTACAGATATTACGGTAATTAACCAGGTTATAAGTGTACTTTGTGCTCTAGCAAACACCTACTTTTTGACGCACTCAATTTCTTAACTCTTTAGTTGTTAGGGATGCAAAAAAAAGCACAAAGTACAGCTCCCACCTTGCCCTTTCCATTAACATCAGCTCGTTTTCCCATCAAAGTAAGATTACAATGATTAGAATTCAAATATTCTTTTTTAAATTGGAATGTTTGGAACAGAGTGTTTGGAATAGAATGTTTTGAATGCAAGAAAAAGATTTACATCAAATTCTCCGGAAGATGCATTGCTGATAGGCTCTAATGGACTCAAATTGAGTGGAATCGCCATTTGCGCTTTGCTCAACTCGTTCAGCGTCGGTTTCGGTTGCTTGAAACTGAAAATGGATTGTTGGGATCTTTGGAATTGGGAATTTGCGAGTTTTCGAACACAAAATACTTTGGGTAAACGGTTTTTAGTCTATGAAATCGTTTTTATTTAGAATTCTTGAGTAATTCGTTTTTTTTTGTCAGCTTTTAGCAACTATAACCTTTAAAAGATCAGAGATTTAAGAAAATTTCTCTGAGAGACTACTTTTAAGGCTTGTATTTGGTTGTCCAGTTATGAGTGCGCGTTTTTTACTATTTTGTAAACTTCTCTTAGCTATTGTCTCTTTTAAAAGATATCTCTTTCAGAAAACTACCGTAATCAGCTGCCAGTTTAGTTCAATTTGCTCAATTCTTGCATTATTGACTGAACCTCATCAAATAATACCAAAAACTGAGCTGATTGAATGAAAACTGGCTTGATTACGGTAATTTTTAGATGCCTTTTAGAAAAGAATTGAAAAGTAACGCGGTTATAGTCAATCTATTGGGTTGTCCAGTTATGAGTGCGCGTTTTTTACTATTTTGTAAACTTCTCAAGATACCGATCAAGATCAAGATCAAGAAAAAGATATCTATGAGTATTATTCGAAAGCTGAAGATCTCCTCTACATTTTGATATAAAAAGTTTTTGAATTTGTCCAGCTTTTGGGCAAATTGACTGCACAGAAGAAGAGGTGGCCAAAAAAATGGAAGGGTGCCTTTGGATCAAGTTTTGGCTCCGCTCAAATTGAGTTAACCGTTTGATGTTTGGCCAATAGATATATCAATACAACTTTTTTTTTAAATATAACAATTTCAGAGCATCTTTTCTTTTCTGGGCGGTTATTTTACACTATAAAACTTGAGGAATAGCTAAGCTGGAATGGGGTTTTTTTTTTGTAAACGATCTCTCCCTTTGTGCAGTCAATTTCCCAAAAGCTGTACAAATTCAAAAACTTTATTTTTTGGAAACGAATTTATCTTAAAGTTTAACCAATTAAGTCCAAGTTCTAATTGGTAGACTCAATAAAATGACTATCTCCAATCGATTCGCCGGCCCGGAAAACTCCCGGCTACAAATTTATAGCTCAATCTCAACCCAATAAATGTCATATCGTTTCGTTTCCTATTCAAATTTTCAAATAAAAGTTTAAACTTTAAAAGTTAGACATTATAAATGTTACAAATGTTACAAAACAAACAAATAAAGAATGAAATTTTTACCTATGAGCTGGGATTGTATTCGAAAAAATGTCGTCTAGTGTTGAGAATTCGTTGAAATCGATTCCTCGTCGGTTTGGTGGTTGATTCAATAGCAATGGTCGACGTATTGTTTGCGGTGTTGTTGACTAAAAGGATACGACTTGAATTTAAAGTTATCTTAATAAAAGAAATGACTTTAAACGTGAAAAGCTAAAGTTCTGCTTGAGTTTTGAGTAAATTAAACTTTAGAGCTTTGTAGGGGAAATCAAATCAAGTATGGAAATCTTATTTTATTAGTTACCCTATTTTATAAAAGTTAACAAACCAAAGAAACTAGACATGAGCACTAGAAAGTACAAACGCAAACTACAAGCACTTCTAACTTGTTTCAAATCTGTCGAATTGTCATGATCTATAGCTCAAAAAATATAGAATGTCAAGAGCTTTCGAATGGACTAAAGCACAGCAAAAAATATAAATTCTATAGAAAGTTACAGTGGTTTGTAGTCTGAATCGATCGCTTCGACTACAAGCCACTGTAAATTTCTATATAATCCATATTTTTCGGTGTTATTTAGTCCATTCGAAAGCTCTTGAGATTCTCTATTTTTTGAGCTATAGATCATGACAATTCGACAGATTTGAAACAAGTTAGAAGTGTTTGTAGTGTGATGGTTTGTCATTTTTGTAGTTTGTAGTGCTCATGTTGAAAAGAAACTCACCGTGCTCCCAAAGCCTATAAATGGAACGTCTTCGGGATGCCCGAGAATGTGATTCGCTGCATCGACCATTTGTGGACATGGGCCATCAATAAGAGATGAAGAAGTCGATGGAGTTGGAGAGAAAGGATATTGAGAGACACTAGGGAGATGATTGTCGGACATCTCATCACTCAACAAATCCACTCTTTGATCGCTCTTTGATTCGTAGAGGCTCGGGATCGGGATTGACGCTGAAAATTGGGGTTATTCGATCAAAACAAGTTCAGAGCCTTGGACTGTCCTTGTGCCAGCTTTCCCTGAGCCAGCTTTCCAAAGCTACCGTAATCTCTAGATCTATCTAATCTGTCTAATCTGTCTAATCTATCTAATCTATCTAATCTACCGTAATCTCTTAATCAATTAACTGCTGGTCTTCTTCATTAACTCTCACAGAATCAACTCAAAACTAGATAGCTTAACTCGAGCTATATTCTAGATTATTCAAAAGTTAGCACATTTTAGAAAGCACTTATTTAAAAGCATATTTAAGAGCTCAAAAGTCGACAAATTGAATAAAAATTAGAGATATGATTATAATTAGTTTTACAGAAATTTTCCAGAAATTTTACAGAAATTTTACAGAAGTTGACACGTTTTAGAAAGTCAATAGTCGAAATTCACATGTCCAATTTGAGTTTAAAATAACAGAAAAATGAAATTCATCAAATTCAGCCTTTATCCAATCAATTTTTTATCAAAATCAATTTCAATTCAATCAATTTGTATCAAAATTTAGAAAATCACAAAAACAAAGCCTGTCAGTCAAAAACAAAGCCTGTCAAGTGTACATTTCTACCCCCAATTTCACCTGTTATCTCATGCCTCCTCAATTTTTGCGTCTCGTACATTTGGAGAAGACGGTTTAGCTAAAAATTGGATTTTTTTTAGTTACTGTAGTTGTACTGTTGTTAGAATACAGTTGTACAGATTATTATGGGGTTTGGTTATGTGAATAGGCTGGCTTTTGTTAGTAGAATGCTTTAAGTCTTAAGAATCACTTCAATTTGTTTTCAGTTAAATTAAGGTAAAATATACGATTAAAAATGAATTACAATTAGCGAACAGTTTCTCGATTATCTTGAGAGTAGTTTAAGCAAGAGAATGCATCAACAAGCACCCATCTGAACATTTGCATTGACGGGAAAATTAACATCAAAAGCTAATTTTTGAGGGAGGTTGAACGTAGAGTTCTTGTTAAGGAAGAGTTGGAATTGAATTGGAACCGTATTGGAACCGTATTAGATCAAAATAGGAACCGTATTCGACCCGTATTCGAACCGTATTGGATTTTGGTCACCTTAGATCACCTTGGGATAGGAACCGTATTGGATTTTGGTCACCCTGGGCCACCTTGGGATAGGAACCGTATTGGATTTTGGTCACCTTAGATCACCTTGGGATAGGAACCATATTGGATTTTGGTCACCTTGGGCCACCTTGGGATAGGAACCGTATTCGAGCCGTATTCGAACCGTATTATATCAAAATAGGACCCGCATTGGAACCGTATTGGATTTTGGTCACCTTGGGATTTCGAAATGAGATCTAGCCAATCCGATAGAAAATCGAACGGCGAATCTGAATCTGTAATCTACTGACTGGCTCTTAAATGCAAGATTTCTGGCAGTAAAGTTTTTGCTATACAAGTTTTCATCGCTTATCGCTTAGCTGAGTTTACGCTTATCTTTCAACTGCCAGAAATCTCGCACTTCAGCTATTCAGCAGATTTTGATTAGAGATTCGGATTCCCCGTTTGATTTTCTATTGGATTCCCTAGGTCTTGTTTTGAAATTCCGATTATTCGGAAATAGTTGCCCCTTTGAATCTTCCTAACTTCCTACTTTCTCCTTCAATTTTCTTTGCTTTCATTTCTTTACCCAATTCAAATCCTTCAATCGCTTTCCCAATTCTTGTAATAGTCTGAGATCTCAACATTTACATTACTCTCTTGAAATCGTGACTCATCTTTTTTCTAATCAGTCTTTTTCAGTTAGATTTGGAGAGTGTTGAGTCTAACTCTTACTTTATCACTCAATATCCCTAACTTTTACGTTTCAATCGAGAAACGACAGTGTCTGAAATCAGTAGCAAAGTCTGACCGTGTCATTGATCTGTAAAATCTCTGCCAAAATCTCATCAGAGCTTTCAGCTGCCTCATTTGCGTATTTGAAGATGATGGGGCGGATTTCGGAGAGACGATCGTGAAGTTCCTGGAGATAAGATTCACTATTGAGTAAGATTATAAAAAGGATTGAATCAGACATTTACTAGACAAGATTGTCAATAGGTGTACAACGGAAAAAAGATACTTATTCGCTTTAACGGCTAGTTTTTCAGAGATAGAGTTTGAAAAATTCTACTTTAAGAAGTCTTGAAAAAGTGGTCGTTGAAGTGGTGAAATCTCGTTTTTTCATCGTACACCTATTAAGAATCAGATTGAAAATGAAGAACTTTAATATATACTATGATTTATATACTTACTGTAATATCCCCAGAGGCTCCTCCAATCCTCATCGCCGTTTCCATCATTTGACAGAGTTTCACCGTTTTGTCGAGATCATCCGAGCGTTTATTGATTTTTTCGACTTTTTGATCTTCCTGAAGTTTTTAAAAGTAAGATCTAGTCATACTGATTAAAGTTTTCATTCTACTCTCATCGTTCTCCTCTCAATTGGAGCAATTCTCCTCTTCTTTTAAGGGTCCTGTTTTGTCTCGTTTGTCTCCTTGTCCTTTCCTCTCCTTTCCTCTCCTCTCCTCACCTCTCCTCAGCAATTCCACGAAACGAGCACCAGTCCCTTTCCCCCTTCCTTTCAAACCGTCCTTTTCGATGTTCAATTATCTTGTAAAAATCGAGCAGGTACTGTTGCTAGCATGCAGAAACTATGCTTTTAGCTATCAGACTTACTCTCACAAGCAGTAAGCTCAATTCTGTTCACTGAGCATGCATACGGCTTTGTACCAGCTTTTAGACTCACCGATCGAACAAGACTCTTGATCAAACGATTAGCTGTCTGGAGGTCCTCGGTTTTATTACTCTAAATGAAATTGTTAGTGAGGAAAAGATTCGCTTCTTAAGTTGTTAAACTTTTTAAAATTTAGTTAAGAACAGCTTTTTCAGCTAATAATTGGTATTTTAGTAGTAATAGGGAGCTCAAGTATCGTCAAAGATTGGTAAATTTTGTCACAAAAGGATCTCGATGCGCTTGAAAGGCTTTTCAGATTTTCAAACACAAAGTAAAATTCTTGAGCGCATCAATGTATATTATTAATGTTTACTAATTTTTTTCATTAGTTACCTGTAAAAGTTCTTTCAAAAGCCTCGACTTTTCCTCATCCTCAAATACGGCGAATTTCGGTGGAGGTGGTGGGATGATCAAGACGCTTTCTTCTTCAATTGATGGATCTTCTGTGATAATCCCTCGATCTTTTAATGAGTCGTACACCTAGAAATGTGAAATCTTTTGAAATCTGGTTTCTTCGTTCAAGTAAAGTGTGCTTCTTTTAAGCTCCGTTTAAAAGATCCGTGTTTAAACCGTTTTTAAATCATACCAGCTTTATCGTAATCTTAGCTCTAGCTTTATTCAATCTATCTATTCTGATTTGACGATTTGACGATCCCTATTACTACTAAAATACCAATTATTAGCTGAGAAAGTTATTCTTAACTAAATAGAATCAGAATAGATAGATTGATACGAAATAGATAGATTGATAGAATCAGAATAGATAGATTGATAGCCAAGATTACGTTAAAGCAGGCAGGATTGACAAAAAATATATAAACTACCAAAAAGAAGCCAGTTTTGAATAAAGTATAAGCAAGATTATAAGCAAGGGAAGTTGAAACGTTAAAGTTATAAGCAAGAAGTTAAAAGGTGGCCAACTAAAGCTAAAGTTTGACCAAAGCCGTACTTCTTTAAATTTCTCCAAATGTCCCATCGATTTCTGCCATGTGTACAGCATTATTGTGGCTTGGTATTTCACCTGAAAAGTTTTTTAGAAAAACCAAAATGAACTGCAAAACCTTTTCTGATGTTTCTTTGCCAAGATATTTTGGTGTTAACAATCGAACGAGCTGATTTAGAAAGCGAAATTTGCCAACTCGAGTGTGGATTTTTGCTCCACATCGTCGAACCAAGAGATCGATGGCCTAAATGGTTAAGAATTTTGAGAGTTTTTATATTTTAGATCTATCACAAGTATTAGAAACTCTTTCGAGTGTCACAATGAGCTGAAAGATTCAAAATTTTGAGTTTATCTAGACTACCAAGTGTAAATAATCTAAGGGAACAATGAATAATAGTAAATAATGCAAGTAAATAGTAACTGATATCAATATAATATCCTTATAATCATTCTAAGATAATCCATCTAGATTTTAACAAACAAACATACAATAGTTTTTGTTGCTTTATTGATTTGCTCTTTAGAAAAGATTTGTCTTGTTTGGTACACGTTTGCTAAAGAGAAAGACTCATCAATGATGACGAGGCAAAGAAAGCAGACAATCCAATTCATTTTATCTAGTTTAGATCTGTAGAACCTGTAATTGGATTTGGTTCATTTACGAAACAGCTTTGGTTTCTTTTTTCTACAGATTTGGTTCCTTTTCGGTACAGATTAGGTTCATTTACGGAACAGCTTTGGTTCCTTTTTTCTACAGATTTGGCTCCTTTCGTTACAGATTTGGTTCATTTACGGAACAGCTTTGGTTCCTTTTTTCTAAAGATTTGGCTCCTTTCGGTACAGATTTGGTTCATTTACGGAACACCTTTGGTTCCTTTTTGGCACAGATTTGGTTCATTTACGGAACAGCTTTGGTTCCGTTTTTCTACAGATTTGGCTCCTTTCGGTACAGATTTGGTTCATTTTTTCTACAGTTTTTTCGGTACATATTTGGTTCATTTTTGCTACAGATTTGGATCCTTTTCGGTACAGATTTGTTTCCTTTTCCGCACAGACTTGTTTCCTTTTTGAGTACAGATTTGGTTCCTTTTTTCCACAGATTACATAACTTTTACATTGCTTTATTTAACTTTATTTAACTTTAAACTTAAAAATACAATACCTGTAGTGAGTAGAGACTCTCATCTTGATTTGGACTCGCGATTTTGTGTCCCAATTGACTCACCGCCAATTGCGCGCCCTCTATCTGTAATTTTTTTCAACTTTCCAAGGCTTTAAGCATTCTTTCTCAATCATTCTTTTAGAATTTTAAAGTACTAGCCCATTTTTCTTAAGGTATTACCTCGAAATTCACAATCTCACAGAGCTTTTCAGCGAATTTTCGCCTCTCCCCGTCGTTTACATACGGATCCGTGGATTTAGCTGAATATTTTAAGAGTTATTTTTAAAAATCTACTCACCAATGAAGTATTCAATCGGTTTTTCCTTGATATCTGTGGAAATTGACATAAGGAAGGCACTGAAATGAAGGAAACTGATCAAGTACTTGCTTAGAATCACAATTTACAGTTAAATTTAGCTTAATTTAGCAAATTTAGCAAATTCCCAGTCGTCTAAACATTTGCATTGATGGGAAAATTAACATCAAAAGCTAATTTTTATCCAATTTTTGTTTAGCGATTGATATTTCGTTCAAAATTAGTTCAAAATAAGATTAGAACCAAGATTTTTCACTTTTAAAGATTATAAACGTTATAGAAGACTAAAAAATCTATGATGTGAATAGGAAAAAGAAAAAAAGAACATGAATGGAGAGGAATTTTCTGGGACTAAAAGCGGGACTCACCCCCCGGCTTCAGCACAACGAAATCAATAGGGCCCACCCACTCACTCTCCCTCTTTTTCTTCTTTTGCTTTTTCACCTCAAAAGCCTCCGTGGGCAGATGAAGTGAAAATGGAATGGAATGGACACAAAAGTTTCGTTTTTTTTTTGAACAAATTGGAAGCTTATAGACTTTGAAAAGGTCGGGTTCAAGAAAAATTTGAAAAAATTCGATTTCAAGGTTCTTTCTGTTTCTTAATAACTTGGATAATTTTTGAGAAATATGGGAAAGCTCAAAATGAATAGAAATTAGAGCTGAAGATACAGTGTTACAAGGAGAATTTGTTCTTTGATAAGACTTTGAAAAGTCGAGACTTTTGAAGGGACTTGAGATTTCTGGTATTGGTATCTTTGAACTCTGGTAGTTTAAAGCTCTCCTCAAGGTTAAGATTAATGGGTTTTCTGGTGACTAATTTAAAAAGCTACCGTAATCTGTCTTTCAAACTTTCACAGACACCACTTCGCAAACGTTCGTTATCTTGTAGCGTAACAAAGTTGCAGTTCAAATGTAATCCATTTATGACTTTCTATGATCACTCTTCAAATCTATATATCAACCAAGTGCACATGATTATGCTGCTCATGAACCAAGCGATGAAGAAAGCGCAACGCATCAAACCTGCCGTTGCCTAAATTCAGCTCTATGGTTCTGACACAGTTTTATTTGATCTAACAAATTTTTAAAAACTTTCTTTGACTCTTCTCCAAAGCATTCGTTTTATATCAAGTATCAACCTTTCTGGCGCACCCAGTTCTTTCTTTTCTCACAGAATTGATCAGTGACTCGATACAAATGCAAAATTCAGTGCGACAGAAAGGATCCATTTTCAATCTTGAGCACAAAGTACACCAAAATGAGTTGAATATGGGCTTGATTTCGGCAAATGGTACTTTTCCAATATCGGGGGAGCGAAAGGAAAATCGGGGGAGCAAATTTTGGCAGCGCTACATATGTCCTATATTATACAAACTACCGCCATAAAATCCGAGAATTACCCGTTATTCTCACCTTTATATTAGATCACAAAAGTGACTTAAATATCTAACACCCAGCGAAATGGATCTTTTCCCTTTGAGCGGACTTTCATCGATTCGCCACAGTTGCAAATCCACGACTGGATGACTCCTTTGGTGACGAAATAATCGATTGCCGTCGATTCCTTGAACGCACAAATGTCGGAGAACCGCAACGTCGTTAAAGTTTTAAAAAAACGTTGCAGTTAAAATACAGTCCCGGAAATGCATTTTTCGAGGGGGCAAAATTTGCTCCCCCGATTTTCCTTTCGCTCCCCCGATAATCCTTCCGCTCCCCCGATATTGGAAAAGTACCCGGCAAATTTATATAACGAGATGCAATGCTTACCTTTGACCCAGCATTGCATTGCAATCAGACTTGGAGGCGGAAAAAAGCGGAAAATAATATCTTTTAATATTTAAAGAAAAAGTCAACAAATGGAGCAGTTACGTTTTTCCGCTTTTTCCGTCACAGTGCGTAGCTGCCCCATTCGTTGAGTTTTGCTTTGAAAATCAAAAGATTAAATTTTCCGCTTTCTTTCCGCTTGCAAGCCTAGCCTGATTGCAATGTGACTTAACTACAACTCTACTACAGTAAAGTACTTTGTTTTCTTTGGATTTGACCAACATTTGTAAGAATTGTTTATTTAGAGTACAAATTGAAGGCAAATAAGTCTACTAAGCTAAAATAAGTAAGCTAAAATAAGACGCTTTGTTTCTTTAGAGTTGACTAACAAGAATACGCTAGATATATACAAGAATACGCGATATGAGACAATTCATTCACTCGTTCAATGTTTTGAGCACAAAGTACATGCAAACAATTCTTCTATACTATCAGCACCTGTAACAACAAGCCATTCCATTTATGCGTGCTCTAACTGTCGATTTTTTCCCAATGCATCGCGCGAATCGTCTCTGGATCTGTTGCTAATCGACGCGATCACCCCCCACATTCTCTGTGACTCTACGTCTGCTCAAAAGAAAAGAGAAACGCTAAAGGCTCTCTTTGGACCCGAAGGGGGGAAGCAAAGCAAAGAGCAGGCGGTGGTCAAAAAGAGGGGCGCGACCTTGTCCCACTCACACGTCTCGTGCAGTTCACCACTCGTCCTCTTCATTCACCCACCCATTCAATTCTTTTTCTAAAATTCTCCCTTTTCTGTGCTTTCTTGATTTTTCTATCCCGGCTTTGACCCAATTATTTAGCACCGCATTTTTCGCGTTTAAAATCAATTGCTGTGGCTGTTTTTAGCAACTTTTCTAGTGGATCTATAAATTTACACATCTTATATTGGTTCTTGAATCATTTTCCCTTCTATTCTAGCCAATTAGCTACAAAAATGCCATCAGCAAAGCTGACATTGCGCAAAGTCAACCATTCTTCTTGTTGTCATGATTAAATCGTGGATGCTTTGTACTTTGTTTTTCTTTCCAATGTTTAAAGATATTCAGTCAACAAATTAAAATTCTATTTCTGGTAACTCAATAAACAAATCTTTTTGCGAAAAAACATTTTTCGATTTGTCTACGACGCGTCCTGTTGCTTCATTCTCGTCTCATTTCGTTTCGTTTTTCATATCTCTCCTTACCGTTGCTAATTTTCTTTTTTTCAGTGAACGAAGCCTTCCATGAAAACGCTGTTGTTGCTGGGCGCTGTCGCCCTTCTGTCAATTGGAATCTTCGCCGAAGAGGAGAAGAAAACGGTTAGTTTTAAGTTTTTTTCACCATAACTTTTTTTAGGACAAATACGGAACAATTATCGGTATCGATCTTGGAACGACTTACTCCTGTGTTGGAGTATTCAAGAATGGACGTGTCGAGATTATCGCCAATGATCAAGGTATATTTTACTCTTGTTAAATAATACATTGGCTTTATAAACTATGTCATATTGATGCAATGCTTATATTTAAGGTAACCGCATCACTCCGTCCTATGTTGCCTTCTCTGGGGAATCAGGAGACCGTTTGATTGGTGATGCCGCCAAGAATCAATTGACCATTAATCCGGAAAACACTGTTTTTGGTAAAGCTTTAAGATTTTAACTTAAAAGTATGTGTTTAGATGCCAAGCGTCTGATCGGTCGCGACTACAAGGAGAAATCCGTTCAAGACGACATCAAACTTTGGCCATTCAAGGTAGTCTTTATGGAAATGTTAAAAAAATTTGTTTAGATTGTTGACAAGTCCAACAAGCCATATGTGCAAGTCAAAGTCGGCAAAGAAAACAAGCAATTCACACCAGAAGAAATCTCGGCTATGGTCTTGGTGAAGATGAAGGAGATCGCAGAAAGCTACTTGGGCAAAGAAGTGAAGAACGCCGTCGTCACTGTTCCTGCCTATTTCAATGATGCGCAAAGACAAGTAAGCTATTAACCTTTGATAGATTGTAATGGGCTCATTCACCTAATAGCGTGCTTATGTATTGCATCTTTAACGATTGTTTGCTTTAGGCAACCAAGGATGCTGGAGTAATCGCTGGACTCAATGTCGTCAGGATCATTAACGAGCCAACCGCTGCAGCTATTGCCTATGGATTGGACAAGAAAGACGGTATGATTTGGGCTAATTTTTAGGGGTTTCATCAAATTTTGGTGGAAGGTGGTACCGGTTTGTGGTCGGGAGGGGGGACTGTTTGCGGTCAGCGCAGTGAGTAAACATACTGCCAGACCCCCTCGGGGGAAGTTAAGATGTTAGGTGATTGATTGCACACAATATAGAAAGTTTGCTGGACTTAATAATAATAATGAACGCAATTTAAGAATAATGATATTAAATAGCTAGTGACAGTGATTAAATTTTAAGGTTTACATTTAGGTGAACGAAACATTCTCGTCTTCGATCTCGGTGGAGGTACCTTTGATGTGTCGATGCTCACCATCGATAATGGAGTTTTTGAGGTTTTATTATAACTGTGAATTCTTTGAATGTTTAATTTAGGTGCTTGCAACAAACGGAGATACTCACTTGGGTGGAGAAGATTTTGATCAACGCACCATGGAATACTTTATCAAACTTTACAAGAAGAAGACCGGAAAGGATATCCGCAAAGACAACCGAGCCGTGCAAAAACTCCGTCGTGAGGTTGAGAAGGCCAAGCGAGCATTGTCCACTCAGCATCAAGTCAAGGTAAGCATCGAGCGTGTTTGTCAGCGAATGTCAATGTTGTTTAGGTTGAAGTTGAATCTCTCTTTGATGGTGAAGACTTCTCGGAGACGCTCACACGTGCCAAATTTGAAGAATTGAACATGGATCTTTTCCGCGCCACATTGAAGCCCGTGCAGAAGGTTCTAGAAGACTCGGACTTGAAGAAGGAAGACGTTCACGAGATTGTTCTTGTTGGAGGATCAACCCGAATCCCGAAAGTTCAACAACTCATCAAGGAATTCTTCAATGGAAAGGTGTGTTTGTCGTAGTCTTGTGGCAAAGCATAAAGAACAGATTTTATTTTGCTTTTAGGAACCATCTCGAGGCATCAACCCTGATGAAGCCGTGGCATACGGAGCTGCTGTGCAAGCTGGTGTCATCTCTGGAGAGGTTGGCTGAATAGAGTTGTTGCTGTGATAAATTGTTTTATAGGAAAACACTGGAGACATCGTTCTGCTTGATGTCAATCCTTTGACGATGGGAATTGAAACCGTTGGTGGAGTGATGACAAAGCTGATTGGACGAAACACCGTCATCCCTACAAAGAAGAGCCAAGTCTTCTCAACTGCTGCTGACAACCAAAACGTCGTCACGATTCAAGTTTGTATTTAGTCAGATTCATTTTTATTAGTTTTTTTAGGTCTTTGAAGGTGAGCGCCCAATGACAAAGGATAACCATCAACTTGGCAAATTCGACTTGTCTGGACTTCCGCCTGCACCAAGAGGGGTACCACAAATCGAAGTAAGCGTTATAAAAAATAGTGCTAAATTACTTCTCAATAACAATCAAATATTGTTTAGGTCACCTTTGAAATCGATGTCAATGGAATTCTCCACGTTACGGCAGAAGACAAGGGAACTGGCAACAAGAATAAAATCACCATCACCAACGATGCCAACCGCCTCTCGCCTGAAGACATTGAACGAATGATCAATGATGCCGAAAAGTTTGCCGAAGACGACAAGAAAGTCAAGGAACAGGTAATTCTTTGGGTTGATGCTCTTTTCATTTCTTTTTATAGGTCGAGGCTCGAAATGAATTGGAGTCATACGCCTATAACTTGAAGAACCAAATCGGTGACAAGGAAAAACTTGGAGGCAAATTGGAAGGCGATGACAAGGCGACCATTGAAACAGCCGTCGATGAAGCGATCAGCTGGTTGGATGAAAACAAGGGAGCCTCAGTTGAAGAGCTCAAGGAGAAGAAGACGGAACTCGAGGGCAAGGTAGAACCTACCTGTATTTAGTTCTTAAAGTTTAAATATAGCTCAAGCTTGATGTATTATGGAGCTTCTTTTCAGTTTTAAATCCCTTATTTACAGGTTCAACCCATCATTGCAAAACTCTACAAAGATGCCGGCGGTTCAACTGGTGACGAAGGTGAAGGAGCCGAAGGAGCTGAACCCGAGAAAGACGAGAAGGACGAGTTGTAGATGATAAACTTTAGTATTCAACTGTTCTATTTCTTTGTTGTTGTTGACTCTGGGTTTGCACCTTTTTCTATGGTGCTCTATGCAAACGTGGGTATCTTTTTTTACCGTTTTCACCCTATTTTGGGTACTATCTGTGATTGTTTTTGTAGTGAATAAAGCTTTGTGGTATATATCTATCGTAAAAATGGCAGACATAACAACTCTTGATCGAAGCAAACTATAAGCTAAAGTTTAAAATCCTTGGCGGACCTGGCGAGAAAAGGTTATGAAATCATGGCTTACGAGACAAATGATAGTAGAATATTGAGCTGGAACTCTGTTTGAATTGAAGCAAAGTAAAGTTCTTGTTCAAGTGAGTTCTTGAGCTCAAAATTATATTTGCAGCAAACCTAGGGACTATATTACACAAACGTTTCCCAGATTTGCTTCAGCAATGTATCAACAAGTTTTCACTTTATTTTTCGTTCAATCATTGCAAAATCATTGCTTACGGGACAAATAACAGTTGAATGTTCGAGAGAAGTGAGCTTACGCTAGAAAACCCCTAAGAGAGTGTATTGTCTAGAGATTGGAGAAAGAGGAGAGACAGAGAGAATGAAAGGTCAATGTTGGACCCATTTATAAGGTTATTTTGGGCGGAAAATTTTCATTTTTGCTTAATTTCTTCAAATACCAAATTGGTTCCTGATATTTTTCTTTCTTTTCCCTATGTTGAGCTATTTAAATAGAGCAAATGGAGCATATCAATGCCCGACTTTGATTGGATGTTTTGTCTAACTATAAGCTCTTCGAAATATGGAAAGCCAATGCTGAAATCTTTGTATCCAATAGTTTTCATTTTTATTAGACTTGTTTGAAGAGATTCTTAAATGTCTAGAATTTCGAAATGTTTTCTGATAAGATAAGAACCGTCTTCTGCCTTCTGATTCTGATAGGAACCGTCTTCTGATTCTGATAGGAACCGTCTTCTGTCTTCTGATTCTGATAAGAACCGTCTTCTGTCTTCTGATTCTGATAAGAACCGTCTTCTGTCTTCTGATTCTGATAAGAACCGTCTTCTGTCTTCTGATTCTGATAAGAACCGTCTTCTGTCTTCTGATTCTGATAAGAACCGTCTTCTGTCTTCTGATTCTGATAAGAACTTAACTCAACCACCTTGTTCTCATATTTTGAATAGTTTTTTTTACTGCTTTTCATTCTTTTCCTAAAATATTCAAATTTTAACAAATATAGCTTTTGGTTTAATATTACAAATTGACAGCTTTAGCTTTGAAAAACCTTAAAATGATTTTAAACTTGAGAATGATGCTTTGAAAAAGCGATAACTTTTCACTGTAACTTTTCGGAGTTCTATAGGAAAGCCGATATTTTTCAAAATCCCAATCTTTAAATGCGTTTCCGTCTATTAGAGCAATTTAACACCTGTTTTGTCAGCTATAAACTTTCAGTTCAAAAGTTTTATTGAACTTTTCCTTGCACTCGTTTTATTTTAGCACTAAATGACGCATAGCAAATAACTCTAGGTAATTGTGTTCATCACAAACCAAATTTTCAATGGCTAATACGCTCGTCGAGAAAAAACCCCCGGGAATTCTCGGCACGCCGCTCAATGGCGTCTCAACGAATGCTTTCCCAATCACCGTCAAGAAGAATATCCCGATCTTTAAATACGATCTCCGGAGTGAGTTACGAATTCTTTTGAATTTCCGTTTATCAACTATTGGGTTCGTGAATTGAAAACTGAACTTTGAACTAAAATTTATTCAACATAAAACCATAATTTGATTCCAAATAATTTCCATTATTATTGACGACTGCTGACCATTTTACAGGCAATTTGCGGATTCCTCTTTCGTAGTAGGATTTTGGTTTGTGTGTGAGACAAGTGTGAGACTCAAAAATGGAGGACTGGAGATGTCCCAGTTTGAGCACTTTCTTCAAAAGAAACCCATTTTGATGTCAATAGAAAAGTTGTAGAGAATCAAAAATTAGGCTTATAGCCAAATTTCCAAAAAGATACACTTAGTAGTTTCGCTTAAAATGCAAGTTTTGTGAAAATTCGTAAATTTCGCATTTCTTGAAAACCAGTTCTTGAATCGTTCTGAAAATTTGGATATAAGCTTGATTTTTGATTCTCTACAACTTTTCCATTGACACCAAAATGGGTTTCTTTTGAAGAAAGTGCTTAAACTGTCACGTATGACAATAGCCCGCAGTTTTCAATTCACCAACCCAATAAATAAGGTATTCAGAGAAGCACCTTTTGTAGTCATAGAGAACGAAAATTGCTGAACTCGAATTTTCTAATTATCTAACATCCAGCTTTTGAAATAGTTAGAAAATTAACTACAAAAATGTATTGTTCCAGTCAATGCCTTCTATCCAAACGCCAAACAACCGAGGGAAATCACGAAACAGATCAAGGATGAGTGAGTAATACTATTATTGATTTTTAAAACTTCAAAAGTTATTGGCTTCGATGTTCGTTATTCATCTTATCATCTTAAAACCTGAAATTTCAGTTTCTCTGAAGTCAACCGGAAAGTCTACCAAAAGGCGATTCTCAACATCGTTCGCGCAAATCAAATGGATCCATTTTTTGAGAAACCCTTCATCACTGATGCTGCGGCTTCGTTGTACGCACTAGATATCATCAAAATCGATGATCCGGTGAGTCGGAATTATTAGGTTGGCCGGAAAGTTCTTTCCGTTTTTTGACGCTAGATCTAATTTTTTATTTTACGCATCAAAAACGCCAAATAAAAAAACAGAATTTATCTACGCGAAATATTCACCGTCAACATCAATAACATCCTGCCACTTATCCGGCAACAAATAGATTCCGCGGCGGTAAAACTCACGTGGCTTAGAATCGAAAAACTGAGTGAGTGACAAGCGCATTTCCTCGACGTTTTGAAAGATCTTTCCACGTGAAAAACTACGGCTACACCGGAAAGAACGGGGGGGTAGTCAAAACAGCGCCATAATAGAAAACGTTCAAAACAGCGCCGTCAAATTTCTCAAAATCCAAAAAACCAAACCGGTTCAAGTTTTATATCAAAAAATTCGTTGCGTTTTTGGCTACATGATGGGTGAAACAGTTTTTTAGAAAAGTTAATATTTCATAGATAAAAAGAGCACTCAAAATGTGTGTCCAGTGATACCCAGTTGGTTAACTGAATATCTTTAGAGATCCATTTTGAGTGCTCTTTTTATCTATGAAATATTAACTTTTCTAAAAAACTGTTTCACTCATCATGTAGCCAAAAACGCAACGAATTTTTTGATATAAAACTTGAACCGGTTTGGTTTTTTGGATTTTGAGAAATTTGACGGCGCTGTTTTGAACGTTTTCTATTATGGCGCTTTTTTGACTACCCCCCGAAAGAACTTTGGTCAACCTAATAAATTTAAACCCTTTGCTCAAAAGCATAAAATGGCTTAACTACTGTAATACAAAGAATGTTAAAACAGAGTTTTTAAGACCAGATTGGCTGGATGAATTGGTCTAGTCTACAAAAAGAACTTGGTCTAAAAAGAAAAGCCAAAAGTTACACCTGGATCTTGTTTCGTTTTTGAACTTGATCGGGTCTGATCTGGCCTGATTGTACTACTTCTTTTTCTCATTTTCAGTACAGTATGACAAAAACCCTAAAGATCTAGACTGAATATCTTTAAGGCCACCAATTCAGCTAAATTCCCATCACTTCTTCAAAATTGTTAACCTTTCGTGCACTCAATTCTTCCCTTTTCCTTCCATACAGCAAGAGCTGGTTAACAAGCAAAATCAGAACTTCAGTTTGCCGGATAGAGACCGTTTGCAACAGCTGAGCACAAAGTACACTCTAAAGCACACATAGTAATCGAAAATTTCCATTTTACAAAATAAATTTTGCCTTTAGGAAATCGGCATTGTCATCGAAGTGCCTGGAGAACTGCTGACCGGCATCAATGGCCTCGGGAACCCGACTCACGTCACCGTCACCATCAAACCAGTTCAAGACTCGTTTCAAGTCAGCAATTTTAATGTCATCAATCTAAAACCAAAATTCCACAGGCTAACACCAATCAGTTGGACGGGTACTTTAAAGAGTATGCAAACATCGCCGTCTCGCATAAAGCTTACGAGAACAGGTGGAGATTTTAAAGGATTAAAGGTTTATTGTATAGTACAAGATTTTAAAGGACTTTTGTAAAGCCTCAGTACTCTGATTCATTATAGTAAGTTAGATTCTTATTGACGTGCGGTTTTAAGCGACTGTTTTAAGGTTTTAAGCGGTCTTAAGCGCGGCGCGCTCTCTAAAGCGTGAATGCGCTACCGTACCCCGCACAAAATTCCCCTTTTGCCATTCTTTTCATTTTTCTGCATTCATTTGATGGAATCGGGAGTGTTGTCCGGTTTTTTTTCCGAATAAATTTTCTTCCCCTTCTGTAAAATCTATCCTGCTTTTTGTAACGCGTTTTAAGGTTATCTGTCTCCCCAAATTCCCTTTCGGTTATATTGTTCCGCCTATGTTTTCTGTTTAAAGTTCTAAAATGGTTTTGTTTCGTTTCTCTCGGCTTCCCTCTAGTCCATTGTCTTTGAATTTTATTGTGCATGCCGTATAAACTTAGCTTAACCAATTTCTTTTAACTAACTAACACATCTACGTTAGTTACGCACAAAATCTACCAAATCAAATCAGCGCGATCTTTTTTTTAGAGCTCTTTAAATGGGTCTTGTATCTAATTATTTAGAAAAAGGTAGTGGGTAAGGTTAAATGGTTACTAACTAGTATACTGGGTTAGATCTTAGGTTTTCTTACTGTAATAATTAGTAATTACCGGCACTAAGGTAGACTTTACAATATTAGATACTCGCGAGTTTATCAGCTACAAGCTTTCATCCGGCATATTGTAGTGAAATAGAATATTGAGATTTTACAGGATTTTCTCTATAAAGATTTACAGTATTCCTATTTCAAGTTATATACTAATTCATAAGTTTAGTGACAATTTTGTCATCGGCAAGAATGAGATCTACATCATTGAGCCCGAGGCGGTCGGCTTCTCGCAACGAGATGCGCCGGTTCTCGCTGGAGGAGTACAGGTAACAAGTTAAAGTATATAAAGCTTATAAAATTATAATAAAATTTGGATCCAGTCTGAAATCATTGTGTTCAGGCTGTACCAACGATCAAGAAGAGCATCAAGTTCGTCGAGGATCCGAGCCAGAAGAGGGCCAACGCGCCAACGCCACAGAGAGCGCTATTGATCTTGGATGGTGAGTAAAGTTAAGCAAATAAGATAGGTAACTGAATAGGTTTTGATTTATCAGTCAAATATTGTTATCTTTTCAATATTGTCTGTAACTAGCATCCTCTTTTTTATTTAGAACCAAGTTCCACTAGCAAGAAACGATTCAAAATACAAATTTACATCTAACCAGAAATTTTTGCATTTTTTTGGCGCCACTTAAACTCAATGATAATTTAAAGTTACTTGTAGGTCTTATTTTGCAAGATTTGTATGCAAATTTCATTTGAAATGCAAAGATTATGAATTTATAAGTTTATAAGCGATTATGCATTTAAACGCAAACGCACTAGATGTAGTGCGTTTGCGTGTTATCAATAGGTTCATTTTTTCAAGAATATGTCTGACAGTTTAAACTATCACTGTTTTAGTGTCCAAACACGGGATCCATTATCCATCAACGCTAGCTGAGAAGATAAAAAAGTTTTCAATGATTCGGTTTATGGAAAACCCTTTTCAATGGTGACAGCCATCCGCGAAAGGAGTGTGCAAAACGCATTGAAACGTGAGTGAAAGTTGAGCTTATTTTAAGTTACCTTATTGGTTTTAGAATTGTGCATTTTAAGTGTTCAGCTACATTTCAATTTCAGACCTTGAAGTACTTCCAATTCACCGAGAAAACGCTCGAACCGTCATCATTCGTGGATTCGCTGGCCCACCAACTCAAGAAGTCATCCCGCGAACGAAAGAAACGATCGCCGCCTACTACAAGAAGCAATATGGATACACATTGAAGTATGTTTGTAAATTTGATAACATAAAAAGTACCGTAAGCCCACGATAACCTGTCTAGAAACGTTTTGCTTAGACCTTCTTAGCGGAATTCCGATAAGATTTCCGATAATTCCGGAATTCCGAGCGAGTCGGTCGGTTGGATTCGGTAACCTGATCGATATCGAGACCAATATCGATACCAAGTTCGAGCTATTTATAATATTTTTTAAAGCTATAACAAATTTTTCTAAAAGCTCTTGAAAAAATGCTGTTTCTATTGGCGATACAATAAATTGTTGATTAAATGTATTGAAAAATATACAGGAACATAAAGAAAAACTTGAAAAGGTTTTCGTAAAAAGTTTACGGTAGTTTTCATAGACTGGCACGTTTTAAAAGGCGTACAGGATGTCGGAAAAGCTTTCAAAAAATTCTTGATTACCAGTCTCAATTGAGAATCTTTTAAAGTATTTAAAGTAGTTTTATTGCCTAAATTTTTCTGGAAAATTATTGAAAGTTTACAGCACTTTAAATCTAGACAACCGTCATGGCCGATGATCCGAGATTGGAGAGGAAATTTGTTCCCAATAGAGATCCTTGAAGTGCTGCCATATCAAGGATTACGGAAGACTCAGGAGTTCAAAGAGCAAACGGAAAGGATCACAAAGGTTGTGGAAACTTCAGAATTAATGCTATGCTATATACAACTGCTTTTAATAATCAATATCTGTTTTAAAATAGCAAGTAGGCAATATTTAAACTATAATAGTAGGATTTTGAATGAATTCATTGTTGATTTCAGGAATCGGCCGTACTCCCCGGCATTCGCAAACGCCAAACGTTGACCGCAGTGGCGGCTCTCTCCTTGGATGATCCATCGTTCATTGATCGAACCGGCTTGCAAGTGCAATGTGACAAATTGTTCAAGGTATTTTTGAATAAAGATTGAAACGACAGAACTAAATTGAGTTTTCAGTTGTCATCGGCTCGTCTCCTTCCGGCGCCTCGTGTCGTTTATGGAGACAAGATGAGTGAGGATCCGATAAATGTGGGTGATCAGATATAAAATTTGCATAAATCGAATACTAAGTAGTAGCTTGGATTTCTGGATTTAAATTTTGTTCACACATAAGGGCTTAGAAGAGCGGAGATTTTTATTCGAGTGGAAATTGAGTTTGGTTTCTAGCTTTGGCTTTTGAAATTTTTAAAAATCTAACTATATAAACTCAAAGATCAGTTTTAGGGAAAATGGAAGATGCAACGAGGAGGCGGCCCAAGAGGAGCTCAACTCTACAAATTTTTCTCACCAGCTACCATTCAATCATGGGAAATCATCGCTCTCGTTGAGCGTGGATACCAAAAAGTGTGGTGGGGTTTTTGAGTCATAAGCTAATCTAATAATGGTAATAAATTTGGCGAAATTTTAGTTGCCTTAGCTTGAACTGAAACCAGAATCGAAACTTTTTGTCGGCTCGAAAGCGATCCCATCATTTTGCCACCATAAATCTTTACATTTAAAAAGTTTCATCGTCTTCTCATTTATGGGTAAGCAAAAAATAGCTTTGTAATGGTATAACTTTAAAAACAGCACTACATACCGTAGTACAACGTCGTATAATTAGTGTCCTTTTAGCGACTTCGCTGGAGAGTTTGTTCAGCGCGCTAGTGGCCGAAGTATGGCTATTCAAAAGCCAAAAACAATCGTGAGTTCATATTCAAATAAAGTACTGATACTAATAATAGCCAAACAGCCACATATATTTCAAAATATTTGTTTTAGTATCAAGCGTACCCAGTTCAACTAGACAATTTGATCAGGAAAGCCTCAGAGAGTGGAGTCAACTTTGTGATGGTTGTGACGGATAGAGGAGCCGATGTGCATGGTGAGGATTTTAAAAGACTTGACCTCGTGTTTTTAAACTATAATACATTTTAATAAAACCAGTACATGATATATTTAAAAAACTAATGGGATAATACCTCTTTTGAACAATAGCTTAAACAATCTCAAATTTTCAGATATGATCAAGTACTTGGAGCTGAAATACAAGATCATCACTCAGGAAATCACGTGGCGTATTTGTGCAAAAGCTGCTGATGGAGCCGCCAGGAAACAATACGCTGTCATGGACAATATTCTAATGAAAAGTAATGTCAAGAATCAGGGATTCAACCATGTGATCCAACTCCCGCAAAACCTGAATACGTGAGTTGAATTGAAGCTACAATAGGATAACTAGAGTACAGGGTGCGGCAAAATTATGGAACTAAGCTTATTGATGAATTAAAAGAAGAAAATGAAGAGATTTTTTTGGTGTGTTATATATCATTTGAGCTCTTAATGACTACTACAAAATAGAGTAGCTAAATCAACAATTTGAGCCAATCTTGGAAAAGATTTAAGGATCAGGACTTTTTCTTAACTGTATGTACTAATTGGTGAGATTTTTATTCCTGTATTTAATGCAGATATAATCCGTATAATAACTGGTCTAGTTGACGAATGAAGATCATCTTTTTCGGGAGTGTCACGTTCAGGTCTTTAAATCTTTTTCAAGATTGGCACAAATTGTTGATTTAGCTATTCTTTTTTGTAGTACTCATTAAGAGCTTTCAAATGATATATAAAACTCGGAATACTCTCTTCATTTTCTTCTTTTAATTCATCAATTAGCATCCGTTCTTCAATTTTGCCTGTGCAAGCAAAGTATAAAAATCTCAAAAGTTAACTAGTGGAAAAGTCTTAAAAGCATCTTGTCTCACAGTTAAAATTATTCTGTAAGTACGGTAGTTTTTAAAAGTTGACAAGATTTAGAAAACGCATTACACTACATATTCACAGTGTCAAAGCGCATTTTCAATGAAAACGCAAAACTCAAGACTTCAGGCTCCAGCAAAAGATTTTCGATATGGATCGAGTGATTGTTGGCATCGAGATGAGCCATTCGTCGACTGGAGCCAATGGTGGGTGGTTAAAAGGGAACAACTTTTTCAAGATTGATCTAATGCTTTGTCAGTCTGGATTATCAGACTGATAAAACTGCTTTTCAAATTTGAATCTTGAATATGAAATAAATGAACTGTGAAAAGTTCTGTAAGCTTAAAAGTGCAAAAAATATTTGGTAAAACCTCAAGATTATCACTATTAAATTCACTATTCAATTCAAAATATTGCTACAGTTTTTCATTTATAAAACTTCTTTCAGAAAGAGACGCCTCTGTGCTTGGATGGTCCGGAAATGTGACTCGAAATCCGTATTTCTTCCCGGGAAACTTCATCTTTGTCCCTTCACGAGAGACTGAGGTTATCAAAATTTTACTAAAAACAAATTCAAATTCAACAATTGCAGCCAAATCTTGAAGATTTCTTCACGCAAGTTTTTGGAAGAATCATGAAATATCGCCCGAGTTTGCCGAAATTCTTTGATTTATATATGGGCGGAGTGACCGAGGGGAATATGGCAAGGGTGAGTAAAAAAGAAAAAAAAATAGAAATATAATAGATAAACAAGAATTATATTAGAGTAAATCAAAGATTAAACAACATTACACGCGTAAATAATCCAAAACGATATTGACAGATCAGCATAGAAGGTCAAGAATTAGTGGCAAGAAGATGGTAGCTCTTTAAAGTTTATACGTTTTAGAAAAAAACTTTACTTGAAAGGAGCACAGTTTCAAATTAACTTTTGTAATTCTTTCTGTTTGTTCTTTGAACACTTGGCTCTCTTTTGTTAACACGTTGACGACAATGGCGTTTTTGCACAAACAATCGCATGGGACAACGTTGTTTGAAATCAGGTGACAATGTTCCAGGCGAACGAATATGTGTCAGACAGCATCAGGTGACAATGTCGTCAACGTGTTAAGAAAGAAAAATAGAATGACACCATCTAATAGAACGTCACTCGGAGGGGGTATTAAAAAATAAGAACGACATCTCGTTCTAATTTACGGCATTTACGGTAATTAAATTAAGCTATTAAATTAAATTAAATTAAATTCAGGTTGCCAAATCGACGATGGAGAGCCTCCAAGCGGTGTGTGATCAGCTCCCGAAATATCCACTCCCAAAAACGACACTCATCTTTGTCTCACAGGATCACATTGAGAGATTCTTCCCCGAGGTTCATTTTGAGAAAAAAAAATCATTATTTGAAAACATTTCTAGGTCATTCGAACTGGAGTCGATACTGACAAGATGAACGTTCCGCCGGGTTTCGTTGTTGATAAGGAGATTGTCTCGAGCGAAAAATCTGAATTCTTTTTGATGTCCAGTGCCCCGATGCAGGTGAGGTTTAAAAGAAAGCAAAATTTGAGGCAAGTAGACAGCCGAAGACTTGGATCAGATTGTTCTATAGTCCAGGCCAGGGCTAGGTCAGCTGCTGTTGCAGAACTAGCCCATAAAGTCTCTGAATCATCCACCAGAAGTTCTGGATCTGGCTTTACAAGAGCTAGCAATAAGAAAAAACAAAATCTACGATAGTTGAAAATTGCAGGGCACTGCAAAGGCTCCAAAGTACACGCTGGCAATCGAGATGAGTCAACAACGATCGATGGACGAGATCCAACTCCAAACTTGGGCACTCACCTTTTTGCATCAGTACAACACCGGCACCATCTCGATTCCCACTCCTCTCTACTCGGCGAAAGATTTTGCGAAACGAGGCGCCATGCTTTTACCGCTCATCCGCAAATTGTAAGAGATTTTAAATAATAGAAAGATTTATGCGTATTTCTAAAATATGTCAACTTTTTAAAGCTATCAGCTACCTTAATCTTGGCTATTGTCTAATCGATCTCTTTTTGATAACTCGGACAAACGAAAAGTAAATGAATTAGATAACAATTAGAGGCAAAAAGTATGATAGCTTTCGAAAGTTGAAACCGAAAACCGATTTGGGAGAGCATACTCTAGTAAGATTACCTAGCTATGTTGTACATAGATTATTCAGTCTACCAGTTGGCTACTTTAAGGGCATAATGTAGGGTGCACTATAGGGTACCCTATAGGGTGCACTATAGGGTGTACTATAGGGTACCCTATAGGGTGCACTATAGGGTACCCTATAGGGTGCACTATAGGGTGTACTATAGGGTGTACTATAGGGTACCCTATAGGGTGCACTATAGGGTGTACTATAGGGTACCCTATAGGGTGCACTATAGGGTGTACTATAGGGTACCCTATAGGGTGCACTATAGGGTGTACTATAGGGTACCCTATAGGGTGCACTATAGGGTGTACTATAGGGTACCCTATAGGGTGCACTATAGGGTGTACTATAGGGTGTACTATAGGGTACCCTATAGGGTGCACTATAGGGTGCCACTATAGGGTGTACTATAGGGTACCATAGGGACTATAGGGCTAGGGCACTATAGGGTATACTATAGGGTGTACTATAGGGTACCCTATAGGGTGCACTATAGGGTGTACTATAGGGTGTACTGTAAGCATACTATAGGGAATACTGTAAGCATACTATAGGGTGTACTTTAGACATACTATAGGGAATACTTTAGACATACTATAGGGAATACTGTAAGCATACTGTAGGAATACTGTAAGCATACTATAGGGTATACTTTGGGCATACTATAGGGAATACTGTAAGCATACTATAGGGATACTGTAGGCATACTGTAGAGAGACATATTCGACATATATCACCTAATATAAAACTAGAGTTTAGTCAAAAATCGAATGAAAAACGAATTACACAAGTTTATAGCTACACAAAATGAATAAAAGTCCGATTTTCAGCGAATTCCCGGAACATGTGTTCGACCTGGCCGAATTGAACTCGTTCACCTATCAGAAAACTTTGTTCGACAATGTGAGAATTGCTTGAATTCCTTGAGAACCAACAAATTTTTGTATTTTCGATTTTTTTCGCTTCGATTTTTGTTTACTTACTAAGATTTCTTTAGAAAAACTTTTTACATTTTGTAAAGCTCTGTTTTATTGATCAATAATTTGCTTTGGTTTGATGAAAACTCAAAAAAAATCGTGCTGTGTTCTGATTGTTTCCGAAATGAAAATGTGCTTGCTTTAACTCTTTAAACATTCAAACGAGACTTTTTGATCGTTTTTTATAATTTTTTAGTATTAACGTTCAAATTTTTAGTGTTAAAATGTGTCAATTTTGATAATTTTCAAAAAAAAATTTTCAATTTTGTTTAAATTTCATTTTTATTTCATCATTTTCGTTTCTTGGCTTAAAATTTGGCTATTTTGTTTCTTTTCTTTTCCTTTCTTGGCTATTTTGTGATTGAAATTTGATTTTTCTTTTGCCTGAAACGAGTTTAGCCGTTAAAAACTTTCAAAAACGAATGTTTTTCCGATTTAAAAGTAAAAAATCCTTTGAACCCCTTAAAAATCCTTTGAAAAAGCCTTTAAACTTATTTAAATAGTTTTTTTTTTGAAAATTCCGAGAATTCAATACTTTTTGGTGATTCTTTTACTGCAAAACTTCGATTTTTGACTCGATTTTGGTGCTAAAAAGCAAAAAAGCAATAATTTCTGTGCTTTTTCGTGTTACTTGACTTGATTTCATGATTCTCGTGATCTTTTTACCATACTTATCGTATCAATCCTGTAAAATTTCTTGTAAAATCAAAATGGCTTATTTTTTTTAGAATCTCATTCATTGCTTTTGTAAATAAATCGTAGATTAGTGCAAAATGGGTTTTGACAAAATCGTAGAGCAAAAGGATTTTGCACAAAATTGCACAAAATTGAGTAAAGTGGATTCTCGAAGACAGAAAACGAAGACAATACTCTAGATGAATTTGATTAGTAAATATTGCTAATCTTTTATGAGTTACTAATGAAGTTTTTTTGTAAAATTCCTTTCTTTCGTCTTCCTTGTCTTTCCTATTTCTGCTTGGGCAAAGAAAGCGTTGATAGCTCAGTGCTAGAGCATCTTCCCGGTAAGCAGAAGGTCAAGGATAGCGCAGTGCTAGGCATCTTCTCGGTAAGCAGAAGGCCAATGATAGCTCAGTGCTAGGCATCTTCCCGATAAGCTGAAGGCCAATGATAGCTCAGTGCTAGAGCATCTTCCCGGTAAGCTGAAGGTCAAGGATAGCTCAGTGCTAGAGCATCTCCAGAAGATCGTAAAGCAATGGAAAGATGAGGGGCATGTTCAGTCCAAGCCCGGAAGAGGACGAAAGAGGACCGTTAGCACCCGAAAGATGCGTGGGATCATCAAGAGGAGGATCGAACGAAAAGACGATCGTAGTTTGAACAAGATGGCAAAACAGCTTCAAATTTCGCGTTTCTCGGTTCAATCGATAGTGAAAAATGAGCTCGGACTTCGAAGTTATCGACTGTTAAACGGGCAAGTGCTCACCGATCAAGCCAATCAAAACCGGAAAGAGAAATGCAAGAAATTGCGAGCTTTTTTCAAGGTGCGGCGCATTGACGATGTTCTTTGGTTGGATGAGAAAATTTTCACCTTGGAAGTGGCTAAAAACTCACTGAAGCTGAAGATCTCCTCTACATTTTGATATAAAAACCTTTGGAATTTGTTCAGCTTTTGAGCAAATTGACTGCACAAAGGGAGAGGTCGAAAAAACCCATTCCAGCTTAGCTAGTCCTCAAGTTTTATCGTGTAAAATAATGATTGGAATCACCAAAATCCCTGCCAAGATTGTTACAAAAAGCTAAACCTATAGCCAGTTAGGTCAAAAATGACTTTATCTGGCTTCTGGATAGATTAGAAGTCGATTCTGGATGTCATGCTATTTATTGCTCACTTTTGAAAGCAAAATTCAAGGCAAGTCAAGCTCTATAGCTAGAGTTGGCCTGATAGAATCGGTCCAAGAACCTCGACTCGAATATAGTCTTTTATAAATTCTCAAGCTATCGAACAGATGTAGATGAGTGTTATATATCATTCGAAAGCTGAAGATCTCCTCTACATTTTGATATAAAAACCTTTGGAATTTGTTCAGCTTTTGGGCAAATTGACTGCACAAAGGGAGAGGTCGAAAAAACCCATTCCAGCTTAGCTAGTCCTCAAGTTTTATGGTGTAAAATAACCGCCCAGAAAAGAAAAGAAAAGTAAAGATGCTTTGAAATTGTTAAAAAGTTGTATTGATATATCTATTAACCAAAAATCAAACGGTTAACTCAATTTGAGCGGAGCCAAAACTTGATCCAAAGGCACCCTTCCATTTTTTTGGCCACCTCTTCTTCTGTGCAGTCAATTTGCCCAAAAGCTGGACAAATTCAAAAACTTTTTATATCAAAATGTAGAGGAGATCTTCAGCTTTCGAATAATACTCATAGATATCTTTTTCTTGATCTTGATCTTGATCTTGATCGGTATCTTGAGAAGTTTACAAAATAGTAAAAAACGCGCATTCATAACTGGACAGCCCAATATATTAGGTTGATGCAAAAGTCTTTTTCATTTTTTCCGTACTTCTGTTAAAAAGTAACAAATTCACCAATTAATCTATAGTTTGCTCTATAAAAAAGTGTTTTTTTGTTCAATTTGCACCTTTTTAAATGAATTTCGGTTGACTTTCAAGCAAATTCGAGAGTGAAAAACGCCTTTTTCGTAAAAATCTATAAAAAACTCTACGGAAAAATTGGCTGAATGAATTTCTCTGAAATTTTGGCGAAATATCAAACGTTTTTTTTCTCTATCTTTTATCTATTGACACGAAGATAGGTTTTCTTTAGCTAAGGTGTCTAAACCGCATCATCGAGTTAGCCCTTTTTGACTACCCGACTTCATACTCTCAAGAAAATCCAGGCATTAAATATTTTTAAACCCGTTTTAATGTTATTTTGCAGAAAAATAATTGCTTTTTCTAATGAAATCAACCGTAGTTTAATTCGTGCATTTGTTGGCTTGAAACGGCAGACGAAAAAAATGAAAAAGACTTTTGCATCAACCTAATATAAGCCACTTTTACATCACTTTTTTTATGTTATTATGTTTATTTCGATGCCAATAAAGTATTCAATCATCGATTTCTTCTCATTTCTTTTATTGAAATCTCACTTTTTTTGATGCAAAATGAACCCGTAAAATAGTAATAGAAATAGATGAAATTTTTGAATTTGAATTTAAATTCAAATTTCAAAAACGTTTAAAATGTACAAAGGGGAAATTTGAATAAAAAAAAATTCAAATTTTTTTGTAAAGAACCAGATTTTGAAAAAAATTGAAATAAAAATTTGAAAAATTACAATTTAATATAGACAATAATATCCCCAATACAAGATATTGAAAATAATGAACGTTGCAGGGAAAACCCAGCGACTTTTCTGATCGATTTTCTTCGCTCGATTTCGACCAGCCATTTTTCTGAAAGATTTTCATTGAATTGAAATCTTTTTCTTTGAAAAAAAAACTGTAAACTATCAGCAGCTGGCGTACTCAAATTTTCGAGTGTTCTTTGGGCTGTACTTTGTGCTACTTTGTCCTATGCTTTGTGCTGTACTTTATGCTGTACTTTGTGCTGTACTTTGTGCTACTTTGTACTATACTTTGTGCTATACTTTGTGCTAAACTTTATGCTGTACTTTGTGCTGTTCTTTGTGCTGTACTTTGTGCTGTACTTTGTACTCTGCTTTGTGCTGTACTTTGTGCTGTTCTTTGTGCTGTACTTTGTGCTACTTTATCCTGTTCTTTGTGCAATACTTTATGCTGTACTTTGCGCTACTTTGTGCTGTACTTTGTACTGTACTTTGTGCTGTTCTTTGTGCTACTTTATCCTGTTCTTTGTACTATTCTTTGTACTGTACTTTGTGCTGTACTTTATGCTGTACTTTGTGCTGTACTTTGTACTCTGCTTTGTGCTGTTCTTTGTGATGTTCTTTGTGCTGTACTTTGTGCTACTTTATCCTGTTCTTTGTGCAATACTTTATGCTGTACTGTACTGTTCTTTGTACTATTCTTTGTCCTGTTCTTTGTGCTGTACTTTGTGCTGTACTTTCTCTCAGAAACGCCCATTTCTAGCGCACTGAATTCCTCATTTTCCACAGTAATTTTTCAAGAGAAACTCAAGGCACCAAAAGCACTGTTTACAGACTACAAAGTATAGTAAAATCTGTAAACAAAAGCCTCCTAGTGCGCTGAAATCTCTTTTCAGAGCGCTGCTACGGAAAATGAATGAAAATGAATGTGCAAGAAAGGTTGTTTTTACAGATTTAAAGCACAAAGTACACCTTGAACAAGAGCTTTTTTAAAAATTCGTCTTTGGATGCAAATTTCTGTGTAAATTTATGTAAATTTTCTAAAATTTTCTAAAATTCAATCTGCCAGTTCGCGTTGTTTACAGTTTTCTCAAAAATTTCCCTATCAAATCTATGGGTTAAATATTGAATCAAAAATTCGTTGTCTATCACAATAGTGATTAAAGAATTTGAAGGAAATAAAGTAAACTTTTTGAGATCTATTCTGAATGAATAGAATGAATTCTCAGCTCCAATGCACTGAGTTCTCCAGCTCCAATGCACTGAATTCTCCAGCTCCAAAGCACTGAATTGACTCAGCTTCAATGCACTGAACTCTCAGCTCCATTGCACTGAATTGACTCAGCTCAATGCACTGAACTCTCAGCTCCATTGCACTGAATTGACTCAGCTCCAATGCACTGAATTCTCAGCTCCATTGCACTGAATTCTCCAGCTCCATTGCACTGAATTCTCCAGCTCCAATGCACTGAATTGACTCAGCTCCAATGCACTGAACTCTCAGCTCCATTGCACTGAATTGACTCAGCTCCAATGCACTGAATTCTCAGCTCCAATGCACTGAATTCTCCAGCTCCAAAGCACTGAATTGACTCAGCTTCAATGCACTGAACTCTCAGCTCCATTGCACTGAATTCTCAGCTTCAATGCACTAAATCTCAAAAAGTTTACATTTCTTTTCTCTCATCAATACTTTGATAGATCTACAGGGTTTTTACAAACAATTGATGATTTTGATAAGATATTTTTCACTGCAAACGCTCTTTTCTGTCATCAATTAGAGCCAAAAACACAAGACGAGAACTTAAAAAATGTCAAAACTAGCAAAAATTAGGAAAATGAATAAAAAAGGGAAAGCTTTTTGGGGACTAAGCGATCAAAGAAACACAAGCGAAATGATTTACTTGCGAGCTTCTTCCGAGAAAATTCTGGATTGGCGCTTTAAATTTTGGCAAAACTACCGTACCCCTCTTGCAGATGGCGCGCAATTACATTCTTTCTTTTCTTCTTTTTCATTTCATTCTTTCATTCTTTTATTCTTTCATTCTTTTTGCGTATTTCTGATTTTTTCGTATTCTTTATGGATGATGATAACTTTATGGAAGGGATTTTCAAGGAATCAGCACATTCTAAACGGAAACTTCTCTGCAAATGGCACAAATGGGAGCGCAATTTTAATCGTCTTGCAAAGCTTCATCGTCTTATAAAGCTTCATCGTCTTACAAAGCTTCATCATCTTACAAAGCTTCATCGTCTTACAAAGCTTCATCGTCTTGCAAAGCTTCATCGTCTTACAAAGCTTCATCGTCTTACGGTTGTTTTACCACACTTTAAACCGTTAATCCAGGAGTTTCTCGAAAAAAGTAACAAGTAATGATTTCTGATTTGATTGAGAAACCTGTCATGGGTAATTAAACGACTGAGTTGAATGTTCGGCAAGAGACTGTTTCTGCAAAGAAAAAGAAACGAAATCGACTCAATTTGAGATTCGGAGTTGAAGTCAGCTAGGGATTACGGCTATATCGAATGTATCGATACGATATCGATGCTAGACTGGATACACTTTGTGAATCAAATCGCCTAAATCAGTAAAGCAAGGCCAGTCAACGTCAGACTTGCTTCTCGACTGGTCTTGACTTTATTGCTAGCTGTAAAGCAAGGCCAGTCAACGTCAGACTTGCTTCTTGACCGGTCTTGACTTTATTGCTAACAAACGAGCTCACAAAAGTACCACAAGATCAGTAACGTTACAATGTTAAAACCAATCCGGTCAAAGTCAAGTCTCTAGCTAGCTTGAATACTTTTTGTAAGCTAGACGAGATCTGTCGTAAAGTTAGTTCAGTCCTGGCCTGTTCCTTGGTCGATCAGGATCCAGATCTAGGCGGCTACGCGATGCTTCAATAGTCAATTCATAGTATCATTGTGTAGCCGTTTAGTAGTGTCGCGTAGCCGTAAAGTTCTTTGTATTCTTGCGTAGAGATTTGGATCCGAATCTGCCTAACTCAACTTTTAACATGGCTGCCTGTTCCTTGGTCGATCAGGATCTAGATCTAGGCGGCTACGTGATGCTTCAATAGTCAATTCATAGTACCAGCGCGTAGCCGTAAAGTCTTTGTATTCTTGAGTAGAGATTTGGATCCGAATCTGCCTAACTCAGGGCTGGCCTGGCCCACAAAAAGTATCCAAAAGTAAACTTACAATTAGAGCTAAGTTTAGAATCTTATCTGTTAATGAAACAGACGTCTTTTCAAGATTTTAGAAAGCTTTCAAGAGAAAGCCGAAGCTTTTCCCCATTCCCATTAACTCACTTGTGTTTCTGCAACTGTTTTATCGTGTTCGTCCACTTGTCGCCCCTTTTCCCCTCCTTTTTCTCACCCATTGAGCCATATGTGGTCGCTAAATCTCATCTAAGAAATCTCATCTAAGAAAAACTTACATTTCGAGTGATTCGCACTCCCATTATGTGCCGCAACACCATTTGGCACTAAACGACTCCAAACAGATGGCGAGCGTTTACAAATTTGTCCCGACGAATCGTCAAAAGCTGCCCAATTGGCTAAGCGCTCAGCCTAAATTTTAAAATACGTACCCTAAAGTCTCGAGTATAAGTTGATCCGAGTATAAGTTCTGCCTTAATTTACATTCGCTTTAATTGCTTTGAATTTCTTTTTGTTGGGTTTTTATACATCTTCATTGTTATATAAACTTTTATTATTGTTCTTGGAGCGCGGGATACTACAGGGTGACAGCCTATCACCATTGCTATTTGTTATGTGCATGGATACATCCAGACGATAGTGTTGAAGAAGACGCTGGAAAGCATCTCTTTCGGCCGTCGACGTGGACTTTGGCCGGATGAAGAGGCCAGGGAGGGATCCATAAGACTGAGCACCGGAGAGGAGCAGGGCGGACGCGCCGGGCCACGCCCGGAGCAACAACAACAAACAAAAACAAACAAAGCAACAAGTAACAACAAACAATAACAGCATAAAATTGCTATAACCCTCAATAAATTTACTTCTATTATTGTTCTTAAAAAGCAAAAAAGTTATGCTGCAGCGGGGTTCGAACCCTCGACACACCGCACCGGAGACAGCCGTCAATTTGCATGCGAAAACCAAACAGAAATTATACTCGCGACTTTAGGGTAATACGATAAATTAAATTGAATTGAATTGAATTGAATGATTGAATAAATTTGCTATAAAGCTATAAATTGAATAATTTGGTTATGCTTTACCCATCAAAAAACTACTTTTTCACTAACTTTCTGATCCTCTCGATCTTTCCAAATCTCGTTGGCAGTTGCTCGAGGCGAATCACATGGGTTATCAGTTGGAATCTGAAAAATTCTTCAATACGAAACTCTCTTTTTCAACTATTTCAACTCCAGCTTTACTTTTTCCTTTTTTTAACAATAGATTTACAAAAGGTGCCAAAATCAAAACAAAGTTACTTGATGAAAAAAATTGATTTACTATGTACTTTTTGCTTAAAACGCACCCTTTCTAATGCACTGAAAGTTTCATTTTTTCAATCGAAGTAAACTCGAAGTAAAAGTCCGTAAAACTCTATGTTTTACTGACTCTATGTGATGGTTTACTCATTAGTAAAACTCTACTGATGGTTTACTCATCAGTAGAGTGTTTTCCTCGCGAGTAATTACTCGAAATTTACATCAGTAATCTTTACTCGATTAATCGACGTTTTTTCGGGAGTGGGACAAATGCGACCTTTTTTTTGCGCGCCCGGACATTTTTGCGCACCTTTTTTTCCGCACCTTGCCCATTAGTGAACCTTTTTTCGCGTTTTAAAAAGCTCTAAAAGCTAATATTAACCAATTTCCATTCCAAAAGTTGTTTTTCTAGGTAATTTTAGGGCGTAGAATCGAAATTTTGACATATCAGAGCTTGTGGAACCAATTTGAACGGCTAGATCAAATACAAAACGGCTACAAAACGGCTAGATCAACTTACAGAAAATTGTCGATCTTTCTCTTTGTATAACTCCGTCTGTTTGTTTCCACAAGCTCTGATATGTCAAAATTTCGATTCTACGCCCTAAAATTACTTAGAAAAACAACTTTTGGAATAGAAATTGGTTAATATTAGCTTTTTAGAGCTTTTTTAAAACGCAAATGGGTGCGAAAAGGTGCGCTAATGGGCAAGGTGCGGAAAAAAAGGTGCGCAAAAATGTCCGGGCGCGCAAAAAAAAAGTCGCATTTGTCCCACTCCCGTTTTTTGTTATTTCTCAAATAATGCGCACCTGGACATTTGCGCACCTTATTTTTTGCTGGAAAAGGCCTTAGGCAAGGTCGTAGAGCTTCAAAAATGTTTTCATGGAAGGGAATCGTATGCGTAGATTGCGAATTTCGACAAATCAGACCTCGCTGACACGTCAAATTTGGGCTAAAAGGCAAAAACTACGCAACTTAACGCTTTTCCGCAGTTTTTGCCTTTTAGCCCAAATTTGACGTGTCAGCGAGGTCTAATTTGTCGAAATTCGGTATCTACGCATACGATTCCCTTATATGGAAATATTTTCGAAGCTCTACGGCCTTGCCTAAGGCCTTTTCCAGCAAAAAAAAGGTCGCATTTGTCCCACTCGCGTTTTTTCATCAAGTAACTACGAAGCAATCCTCTTTACACGTCGAGTAAATTGAATATCTTTACTTGTGACGGGAATTTGCCAGTTAAACGGCTGAATATCTTTCAAAAAAATCTTATATAAGTCGTAGCTCGTGGTTTTTTGCGCCAATTTTTTTTTGGCACCCATTTAAAAGTACGATAATTTTTTCTAAGTATGTGTTTTAAAAAAACGCATTACTCGTGAGGAAAACAATCTATTCATCAATGAAACAGTGCGCCAAAAGGGTTTGTTTACAAGAGCACAAAGTACATTGTGGTGTGAAAATAAGTGAACAGACGTGATGACATGCACTGTAGGATCGTGGCCGGTGCCCATCCACTTCTCCAGTCATCGATTGATTATTTGAATTGAGTGAGACAGAATTCCTCGCTCGTGAGTCGAGAAAAGGCCAAAGTGGATGAAGGAGGGAAAGCTTTTGACCGAATTGACGAGCCTGTGAGTGAGTGCAGTTTAGACAATGAGAAATGAAATCGGGAATGGGAAATGGGTACTGGATTTGAATTTGAATTTGAATTTGAATTTGAATTTGAATTTGAATTTGAATTTGAATTTGAATTTGAATTTGAATTTGAATTTGAATTTGAATTTGAATTTGAATTTGAATTTGAATTTGATAAATGTCTTTCATCTTTCTTTTCAATTCCACAAAAGAGAAAATGAAAAAGCTTGCTGAATTGCTGTAAGAGCAGCCAGATTTACTTCAGAAATCATCGAAATCCATAGAAATCTCGTCGTTTTTGCTTTTAGTTAAGAATTTTTGTTTCTAAAAATTGCAATTGCTCTAAATTCCAAAGTTCCAAACAGTTTTTTCGTTACTTTCGTTGAAAAATTCAATAATTCAATAACAAATTCATCAATTAATCTATGAAATCTTAAATAAAAAGCGTTTATTGGTCAATTTCCATCTTTTTAAGTCGATTTCTGTTAACTTTTGAGCAAATTCAAAAACTTGACTAAAGAAGACTAATGAACTTGACTAAAGAAGTGGTTGACTGTGCTAGGGCTGGTTAAAAACTCCCCCTATGAACGAGGTGTTCTTTGTGCGGCTGCAAAATCGTTCGCCATCTGGCAAGCGGCTCTGGTATATATGCCGATAATTTGGTTTTGTGAGAATCGGTCTTAATTCGGGGCCCTCCTTTAAAAGATCTATTTCTTTGGATGAACTTCAATTATCCACCCTGTTCAGCTATTCGTTGCAGGTCTCTCATTCTCTTGCGCAATTCCCGGTTTCTTCACTTCTGTCAGCTCCGAGCCAAACTGATATTTTAGTTATTATTGTTATTATTGAATGATTTGTCTATTCTTATGCAAATGTGTTCTCCCCTGTGCTTATCCCTTTTATTGCCGAGAAGGGGCGGTCCTTGGGATTGCCTAGGAGGACAAGTGAGACTCAAATGAGACTTTGGAGTCCCCCTTCCCCTTACACTCATTTGTAATCTATTCATCTTATTATACTACTGTAAATAAAGATACATATCTTCCGGGTCTATGCAACTGCAGTACAGGTCGGTCATTTGACAGGGACTCCCCTCTAATACGTTGGAGGAGTTGAGTTGGGCTTTCGGGGTGTTAGAGATGGGGGGATATCAAAAGGAATCCACTCTCTTTAACTTAACCCAAATTCTAGTCCACATCCGTTTACACCTAGGAACGAATAAAAGTGTTTTTTCGTAAAAAATCTTTTAAAAACCTCTACGAAGAAATTGAGTGAATGAATTTCTTTGAAAATTGAAAATTGACTAAACAATGAACTCTTTATGCTCTAGCTTTTATCGATTAACGATAAAGATCGGTTTCCTTAGCTCAAAACAACAAGATAGACAGCAAGATTTCATTAGCTGTCAACCGCATCATCGAGCCGCTCTTTTTAAATACCCGACTTCATGCTACCAAAAAAAACCCAGACTTAAGAAATTTTAAACACGTTTTATGGTTATTTTACAGAAAAATAATTGAGCTTTCTTAATGAAATAAACCGTAGTTCAATTGGGGGATTTATTGGTTTTAAACGGAAGTACGAAAAGATGAAGAGACTTTAAGGACAGCCACTTCTGGACAGCCACTTCTGGACAGCCACTTCTGGACAGCCACTTCTGGACAGCCACTTCTGGACAGCCACTTCTGGACAGCCACTTCTGGAGTTCTTCTTTAAAGCTCTTTAAAGTTCAGCATTTTCTTTTTTAGTTTTAATGAAACGAAAAGAAACGAAAAGACTTTCCTTAGCCAAAATAAAATTGATCGAAAATTGATCGAAAATCAGACATTCTCCCAATCCTCCTTTCTCCACAAGATCACAATAAGTGAACAACAAAAAACAATTCGAATTTAGTACCGGTGCATCGGAACAGTGATGTTTCGGTGAGTTGAGATCATCGCCGCATTCAGAGGAATAATTCGAGAAACGGGACATCGATCGGAGACGGAGTTGACCCGAGAGATCTGGCTCCATCTCGGCCTAGAGAATGTGCGCTTTGGAAAAGTGCTGGTGAATTGCATTTTATAAGCTAAAGATTAGCAGAGTGATTGAAAAGGATTAAGTAATTGTTTAGTATTAGACAGGAGATTAGTGCTTTAGATTTTCGGTTACAGTTTTAAGCCCTTTAACATAGCGTTTAACATCACTTAATAACATTAAGAATCAAACTTAACTATTTTAGTTGAACTGGCATAACCAAAATAATGTAGAAAAGCGGCCAAATGACAGATTCGGCGGAGATGGCCGACTAGCGCTTATTCAAGCGCTTGTAAAATGAGTTGTATAAGCCTGATCAAGAAGTTTTTGATAGATAAATATTGCCAAGAATTCGGGCTATAATTCTCTATATAACACTTGACAGTTCTAAAATAAATTAGCCATTTGCCAGATACTTTTCCAAAAAGTTCGCGGTCACCCTTTAAGACTAAAAGGGCGACACCTGATCTGGATCTGATCGGATTTATTTCTGTACTTATTTACATTATAAAAGCCAGACCAGGATCCTGGCCTTACTTCTACAAGGTAAAAGTAGGGCGACAACTTTTTGGAAAAACATCTGGGAAATGTCTAGCTTATTTCAAAAGTGGCAAGTGTTATATAGAGAACTGCAGCCCAAATTCTTGGCAACATTTATCTACCAAAAGCTTCTCGATTAGACTTATACAACTCATTTTGCAAGCGCTTGAATAAGCGCTAGTCGGCCATCTCCGCCGAATTTACCATTTGACCGCTTTTCTACATTATTTTGGTTATGCCAGTTCAACCAAAATAGTTAATTGTGATTCTTAATGTTATTAAGTGATGTTAAGCGCTATTTTTGCATTAAAGAAATTGTTAAAAAGCTTTTCTTAACAATCTTTAATAGAGAAAAACGGTCAAAGGACAGCTTCGAAGATTTGCCGACTAGCGCTCCTTCAAGCGCTTGTTAGATGAGTTGTATAAGTCTAATCAAGAAGTTTTTAATAGATAAATGTTGCCAAGAATTCGGGCTACAAATCTCTATCCAACACTTGCCACTTTTGAAATAAATTAGCCATTTGCCAGATGCTTTTCCAAAAAGTTGTCACTATACTTTCACCTCTCCGGCGAATCTATCGTTTGACCGCTTTTCTACATTATTTTGGTCATGCCAGTTCAACCAAAATCGTTAATTGTGATTCTTAATGTTATCAATTGATGTTAAACGCTATTTTTGCATTGAAGAAACATTAAAAAGCTTTTCTTAACAGTTTTTAATAGAGAAAAACGGTCAAAGGACAGCTTTGAAGAGATGCCGACTAGCGCTTATTCAAGCGCTTGTTAGATGAGTTGTATAAGTCTGAACAAGAAGTTTTTAATAGATAAATGTTGCCAAGAATTCGGGCTACAAATCTCTATGCAACACTTGCCACTTTTGAAATAAATTAGCCATTTGCCAGATGCTTTTCCAAAAAGTCGCTATGACTCGCGATCACTCTACCATGGTCAGAAAAATAAGGTTCCAGAACATTCCTACTGCCGTATTTTGATAATTTGAAGTCCACCTGCATTTTCTAATCTGACTTATTGACTTCTCAAGGCTTTTGAAATAGTTCAGAACCTTTTACATGCCTCAATGCTGACCTCAACCAATTGTTGACGTATTCCTCCTCTTTCTCCTTTTATCCTATCCAATAAATCTCTGGCTTTCGTCGAAATATTCGAACTCGAATTGTTCTCTTTTTGTTTCCCTGTCCTTTCCATAACTGATTCCAAACTCGAAGCCATCACTAGAAAAGTATTTTTTTGATTTTCTTTTGATCAAAATCGAATTTCATCTCATTTTTTTGTTTAGTTCACTTCAAATTTACAGCAAATACCGTATTTGTTCGAATAGAAGACCGGGTAAAGAGCATCATCGCATACTCCTGCGTAGCAGCCCTTTTTAAAATCTCTTTTCTGCAGCTTTCAATCAAGTGCTATACAGCTGGAAAATGGCTCAAAAATACCACATAAGCTAACAGATTTTTGAGCCATTTTCCAACTCTATAGCACTTGATTGAAAGCTGCAGAAAAGAGATTTTAAAAAGGGATGTAGCAGGAGTACGCGATCATACTCTTTACCCAATCTTCTATTCGAAGAAATAAGCAGACGGTAAGCAGACAAAAAAAAACAGCAAAGAAAATCAAAAGTTTTTGATTATTTTTCAGCCGAAATTAGCGGTGCTTTGTGCAAAGATTTTGAGATGAAATTCGATTTTTTAAATGATTTTTAAAGATTTTTTTAAAAATTCTAATAGGATAGCAACAACATTCGGTCAGAGTTTTCAAAAAAAAAAAAAAAAAAGAAAGGAAATTTTTTTTTGTTTTCAGTAATGAGCATCGGTTTTGGGGAATTTTTTCGTAAACGCTCACGGTCTGGCACACTGGAATCGTGACCGGTGAGAGGCTGCACTTTTTTGCTCGGCTAAACGCGCGCTTTCTGGAACACTAGTCAGAGACGAGTGTGCTAGAAATGCGCATTTAGCCGAGCACAAAGTACCCACCATGGTGCTTTCTATGTGCACCGGGTTAATAAACTAAAAATCGCTATTTTTCTATTCACCAACTTGGAGTCCACGGGTTTTTTCGGCCTAAGTAAATAGATTTATTACTTAACTGATTTATTACTTATTGTAGTTTATTACTTATCGTAGTTGACTATGAATTTCAGCTGATTATGAATTTCAGCTGATTATAAAGAGCCAATTATGAATGATGTGGATCTAGGAGCGTCCAACCATCAAGTATTTAGTATCATTCAACGCAGAATCATTGATAATTATGTTAAATTTTTTAAAATTAGAAAGATTGAATAAAAAGAAAAAAAATTATGGAACTTCAAAGTTTTCTCTTGAACAAACAGTTTTATTTATTAACTTGTAGCGAAATAAACGAATATAGCAAGTTTCCTAAAAGTTATCGTTTTAGCATTTACTAAGTAAAGTTATCGTAATCCGGCTGGGGGTCTATCCCAAAACAGCGCCGTACCCAAGACAGCGCCGACCAAAACAGTGCCGTACCCAAAACAGCGCTGCCCAAAATAGCGCCGTACCCACAACAGCGCTGCCCAAAACAGCGCCGTACCCAAAACAGCGCCGCCCAAAACAGTGCCGTACCCAAAACAGCGCCGTATCCAAAACAGTTTTGGTCAGCGCTGTTTTGGCGGCGCTGTTTTGGTCGGCGCTGTTTTGGTCGGCGCTGTTTTGGTCGGCGCTGTTTTGGTCGGCGCTGTTTTGGTCGACGCTGTTTTGGTCGACACTGTTTTGGTCGGCACTGTTTTGGTCAGCGCTGTTTTGGCGGCGCTGTTTTGGGATAGACCTCCGGCTGGTTTACGGCTGGATTACGGCGCTGTTTTGGTCGGCGCTGTTTTGGTCGGCGTTGCTTTGGTCGGCGTTGCTTTGGCGGCGCTGTTTTAGGATAGACCTCCGGCTGGATTACGGTAGCAGAGCATCTTTTAGAAAACACTATTAAAGAGAATTCGTCTGGAAACATCTTAAACTCGAAACTTTTTCAGTCTCGATTTCAGTGCGCCAAATCGCCAATGTTTACAAGGTTTCCTATGACGAAATTCACCAAATTTTGTGAAAGCATGAAATTATATTCATTTGCAAAGCATTTTTTGAAGTATTCAGTCATTTTTGTTTTTTTTTAAAACTTGCACGATTCATGGCGGTGAATTTCGGCCAATTTTGCCTCTTCTGGAAAAAATGGAGAACATTTTTTAAAGGAGAAAACAATCTATTTAAAATAAAATCGTTTAATTCACCAAATTTCCCTATTAAAGCTCATGCTTTTTTATTTTCCAGACATAACCTTTTTTGACGACAATAAACTTTAGCAAAAGAGCAGACAATTTACATTTACACGAATAGGGATTACGGTAGAACAGATGACAGATAGAGGAGAGGGGGGAAAACCGCAGGAAAACCGAGCACAATATAGAGAATCGATGGAGAGTTGAATCAGATTTTGTATCACAATATAGAGGATCGAATAGCTTTAGAGTTAGATTCGGCTTTGAATCAAATTTAGTTGGGCTATGTTTGGCTATGTTTAGCTTTATACCTAGCTGGGCTGTTTTCCTATATAGTTAACTAAAATGACTGGATTAGAGTAAGAAATGATCCAACGGGGATCTTGAACTAACAAGGGAACGTTTTAGAGAGAGTGTGAGACTATTGCGATGACGCGAAGCTCCAGCTGGACCCACGCCCAAAGCCTTCAACGCAAACCACCGCGACCCTCTTACTCGTTGCGACCAGGCGGGCATTGCGCTCAAGTCGGCAACGGTCCGGTATAAGTGGTCCGTTCAAGCGCCATCCATTTTCAGGGCTAGTTGATTCGGCAGGTGAGTTGTTACACACTCCTTAGCGGGTACCGACTTCCATGGCCACCGTCCTGCTGTCTATATCAACTAACGCATGACGAATCAAATGTGGTCTTTACTTTTTGCCCGCAGCGAGAGGAATCAAAAGAGCAGAGATTGCGCTAGTTTGATAGTCTAACGCACTATTCCCTAGAACACCGCTGTTTTTTTTCCTCGTGATATGCTACCCGCTTATAGATGTGGTGAGGTGGGAGTTTGCCGAAAATCGCCGAAACTTCAAGTGCTTTTCTGGAAAGCCAGGACTCTTAGTCAAAAAATAAACACAGAACAACTTTGGCCAAGTTATTATCATCAAAAATACACCGTAAATACTGTAATAGTACCCCACCGCCCTCGTACAGTCGCGTAGTCGCAAAAGTTTTTTAGTATTTCATTTTTTTCAAAGCGCCCGTACTTCCAAAAAATGCGTCTTAGGTATCAAAAAATAGCCCCGAATTTCAGCTATTTTTTGATACCTAAACGAGCATTGTAGCATAAACCAGTGTCGAGAAAAACTCGTTCAACGCTAGACTACGCAGCACTCCGCACCGTCATTATGGCGGTGGGGTACTATTACAGTATTTACGGTAAGCTATTTATTCCATAATTTCTGGCAGCCTCTGGAATCAGAAAAATAAAATACCGTAAAGACTTTAATAGAACGCCATCCCCAATGACGGGCGTACAATCGCGTAGTCTAACTTTGAACGTCCCGTTCTCGGCGCTGGTTTATGCTACAGTGTGCGCTTTGGTGTCAAATGATAGCCCTTGAAATCTAGTATTTTTTGGTATCAAAAGTGTAGTTGGGAAAGATTTAGGGGCTGAGGAAAAAATGATTTACTAAAAAGGAAGTTAAAGTGGCGTTCTTTCTAAGGCATCTCTTTCAACATCCCGTTCTTTATGCTACGATGCGTTTATCTTTATGCTACAATGCGCGCTTTGGTATCAAAAAATAGCCCTGAATTTCAGCTATTTTTTGATACTTAAGCGCGCATTGTAGCATAAACCAGTGTCGAGAAAAACTCGTTCAAAACTAGACTACGCAACACTTCGCACCGTCATTATGAGGGTGGGGTACTATTACAGTATTTAAGGTAACAATTAAGTAAAAACACTCAGTTGCCAGTTTCCCAAATCAATTGAGAATTTAAAGCTATATCTGCTGGCTTTTTACTTTTTATACTGTAATTGGATGGCCGATAAAACTTGTGATCTTTACTTGCGAGGACACACACCCTCTGGCACACTATCCTTTAAGAGATTAGTGTGCCAGAAAGCGTGTGTCTCCATTTTAGAGCTTAAACCAGGTGAAAAACCATTACAATCTGGACATTATCTACAGAAATCCGATTCAAATCCCTCCATCTATACTCGATATTTGAATTCCAAGCTGTTCCGTGTTTTTAAAACGGACAACTTTAATCCTTTTTCTTCAAGCTTACCAATATCGGCATCAGTTCGGTGCCACTTTCGACCTATACAAATTTGTGCTTAGAATACACATCTTAGTGCTTGACATTTGTGATTATTTACCATTTTTTTGGGTTAGAAGTGAATGGAACAGAGGACAAGAAGTCTTCTTTTTGATGAAATCTCTTCAATGAATATCTTGATCTTTCTTTTTGGGTTAATTCTAAGCTTGGCTGTTGAGGCTTAGGCTTAGGCTGTTGACTAGTAAACTTGAAATGAGAAAAGATGAAGTTAAAAGTCGATCTTGAATCCGAAACACTACGGATCAACTCAAAGTACTTTTTAGCTAGATCAACTTTTATCCCATCTCATTCCGGCTTTCCTAAAAAAATGTTCTAAAGATTTTGAATTTACCTGGATTTCCCTATTCTAGTTAAGACCTATAAACCTTATGCTACTTCTCAGCTCATCAGAGTACTGTAACGTATTGTAAGTTCATGCGAAATAACCAAGTTTGTCCGCTAACAGCTGTTTAAAACAGATAAGCTTAAGTTGTTAAAGCTTTATCCTTAAAAGTAGTAAAATTTCACAAGTATACTCACAAGGAAAGGTCAACTGGCTGAGCCAAATGCTATGCGAGCTATACCATTCCACGCAGAATTTTGTGCTGATTCCAAATCTGTATTCCGTTTTTGCTGACAATCTGCCTGGCGTTACAAGCGTCTAAAGTCATGTTAGGACACTGAAAATGTGGTCATTTAGGTCATTTAGGTCCTCCTTTCGGACCAAATCCGATCCAGCCATGGCCGAATGGTACAGTGTTCATTTCCATTTTATCGATGATTGTCATTAATATTAGTTACTATGTTTTCTTTTTGTCTTTCTTTGAGAATTATTGTTGTAAGAGTGCAAAGGAATATGTGGGACAACAAGAAATATTTCGCTTCTTGAAAAAAGTAAAAGAAAATGGGGAAAAAAAAACTTCCAAAGTGGGGATCGAATTGTGAGGTTTCTCTCTGGAAACGAACGCTGTACCACTCGGCCACGTCGGCACCGGATTTCGCCTGCAACGAGGCCACTAAGACCCAAATGACCACATTTCTAACACCACAGCCCTAACTAAACTTTAGACGCTTGTAACTCCAGGCAGATTGTCAGCAAAAACGGAATACAGATTCGGAATCAGCATAATTCTGCGTCAAATGGTATAGGTTGCATAGGATTTGGCTCAGCCAGTTGACCTTTCCTTGTCAATTCTTCACTAACTCTATTACCATTTCTAGCAATCAATTGGCTTGGTCTCTAGCTATCATCAGTATCAAATGTATACTCAAAAATATATAATCTATATCAATACGATGAATACTAAGCGAATTTTAAGCCATGGTAACAGTAAAGACAGTAAAGATGTAACAGAGAGAATGAGCTTCTCTTTGTGAGTAACAGAGAGAATGAGCTTCTCTCTGTTACTCACAAATTTGATCAAGATATTCAAGATATTCATTCGAGATTTCATTTATTGACAAAAAGTTTCAAAATACTTTTGCACATTGATGAATAAAATGTAAAGCATTCATTCTCATTCATTATTTTCCATTTACATTACTCCAATGGGATCTCACGCTTGAATTTATCAAGTTTACGCTCAAATTTACGTTTTCCCGAATTTCTCTTACCAATACCGAATAGATTCCGAGCTGTTTAACGAGTGAGAAAATTTGAAATAACAAAATTTTTTGAATACCTTGACGTTGAGCATAGTTGACAATGGTGAACTCGATCATTACACCAAAAACGAACCTAGAAAAAAGGTAAATGATCTGAAGTAGATCTGAAGTTATAAAGTAAGGCGAAATTTTTTGCTTTTAAAAAATTACATCATGCAAGCGCCCATCCACACGTCGATTGCCTAAAAGAAGATTTAAAATGAAAAAAAAACGCTGCTGTCCACTTGCCTTCATGTAGGAGACCTGAAATATGAAATGTTAGAAAGAAATAGAAAAAAAACGCTCGAAATATTAAGTACTTTTTCGTTAACAACGATAAATCAATGTTTGATATCAATTTTCGAATTTCTTCTCAAACAAATGACTGATTTTCTGCATTTTGAAATTAACTTTTAACGTTATCAATGTTATTAAAGTTATCAATATGTTAACGAAACAGTATTCTTATGAAATTTGTGTTAAAATAGCTCACCTCCGGTAGAGCCAATCGAGCAGCGTTTGCTTGAGTCGAAAGAGTCAAAAGAGTCGTGATTGCCAATGAGACTCGAGCTGGTACTGCTTCCACGTCTAACCAAAAGGAAAACCTAAGTATTGATATTGTTGAATAGAGTGGTGGCATCGTAGATTCTAGGTTTTGTTCTAGATTCTTTTCTATGTTCTTTTCTATATTCTGCTATTAGGTTGGTGAATTGAAAACTGCGGGACTTTGAGCTAAAATTTATTTAACACAAAACCATGAATTCATTCCAAATAATTTCCATTATTATTGACGACTTCTGCCCATTTTACAGGCAATTTGCGGATTCCTCTTTCGTAGTAGGATTTTGATTTTGAAACGAAAAACTTTCAATGACTGCTTCTTCCGAATCGAAGTGTTCTCCCCGCAAGCTCACTGCTCATGATCCGGAATAAATAGTAATCAAAAGGGGCGAGGTCCGTACTGTATGGGGAATGCGCCAAAAGTCCCCAAGCAAGGCTATTTATTTTAGAGCGAGTCAGTTTTGCAACATGAGGGCGCCCGTGGTCGTGGAGGAGAACGATCTTTGACTTGGAGGGCCTATTCTTCTTCAGGGATTCATTCACCTTTCCCAACTCTCCACTGTATTTGATTGCATTAACGGTCGTCTTGCTATCCAGCAACTCCCAGTGCAACTCCCAGTCCCAGCTTTTTTTCAGCCTTTTGCCAACTTTTTATTGGGTTGGTGAATTGAAAACTGCGGGACTTTGAACTAAAATTTATTGAACATAAAACCATGAATTCATTCCAAATAATTTCCATTATTAATGACGACTTCTGCCCATTTTACAGGGAATTTGCGGATTCCTCTTGGTTTTGGATATATAGTAGGATTTTGGTTTGTGTGTGAGACAAGTGTGAGACTCAAAAATCGAAGACTGGAGAATGTCCCAGTTTGAGCACTTTCTTCAAAAGAAACCCATTTTGGTGTCAATAGAAAAGTTGTAGAGAATCAAAAATTAGGCTTATAGCCAAATTTCCAAAAAGATGCACTTAGTAGTTTCACTTAAAATGCAAGCTTTGTGAAAGGTTTTGTGAAAATTCGCAAATTTGGCATTTCTTGAAAACCAGTTTTTGAATCGTTCTGAAAATTAGGATATAGGCTTGATTTTTGATTCTCTACAACTTTTCCATTGACACCAAGATGGGTTGCTTTTGAAGAAAGTGCTCAAACTGTCACATCTGACAATAGTCGGCGGTTTTCAATTCACCAACCCAATATATTCTTTTCTATATTCTTTTTATTCTATATTCTTTTCTATATTCTTTTTAAAAGTTCACCAAGAAATGACGACGATGAGCGTTGTTGGGACATAGGATTGCATTAAGTGATGAGTGATCTCTCGTTTTACAAAGAATTCCGCTGTTACACACGACCAAACGCCTGGAAAATTGGTTTAATACAAGAAAAGTGTATAAATGAGAAATAGAAATAGAAATTAGAAAATACGAGGTAAGAAATACAACTTTAAAACGATTATTGAGCAATCGATTTTAAAAAGACGACTACTGTCTGCTTTTTATGGCAATTTGTTGCATTTTTTAATGGTAATTTGAGAATTCAGCCTTAAAATAATCCAAAATTTCTAAATTTTAACTGCTACAATTCTTAAGTTTCAAATTTTCAAATGTTTTTATGATTCCCTGAAAACCCGAGCATATAACCAACTGCCTTTAAGCCTTTAACAATCCATTTTTCCTTTATTTTCTCTCTTTAAACTAACCAGTGCTATAATTTCCATCGCACAATCCTGGATACAAATCCACAATTCTCATATCAGACATTGCAATATTTGGATTCCTTGTAATCGGCTCATCCCCTTTCCACTCGATTTGCAGCTGGTCCGTATCATAGGCATCTAAAGAGAGGCCTTTTTGTTTCCCTTTTTTCTTCCCCCTTCCCGTGCTTCCGTAGCGCAGTAGGCAGCGCGTCAGTCTCATAATCTGAAGGTCGTGAGTTCGAGCCTCACCGGGAGCAAGTTTTTTGCATTTTTGTGAAAATGCACTATTTAAAGTTTTTATGATAAGCATCTGAAGAGAGGCCTTTTTGTTCCCCTTTTTCCTCCCCCCTTCCCGTGCTTCCGTAGCGCAGTAGGCAAGCGCGTCAGTTCCATAACCTGAAGGTCGTGAGTTCGAGCCTCACCGGGAGCAAGATTTTTGCATTTTTGTGCACTTTTTACTTTTTAAAGTTCTATCAACTCATAACTTACAACTCAATATCCGCAGATGGCATCGTTGATCATCTAGTGGCCATTTCTCGAGGTTCAATGTGCACAAAACGATCTGGAATCTTTCAATTTATTGCTTTGTTTGTTGTTGTTGTTGTTTACCATGCTAACTCTTGTATCATACAATATACTCCCATCCGGCTCGATCCAAACAAGGAAATTCGGTTGTGTGACCTAAAAAGTGGAGCTTTGAATGCTTTAAAGTAGAGAATTTCGACTTTTGATACCTCATGGAATTCAGCTATCCGAGCATTCGCAAAGTATACATCAGGATGCCACATTTTCCCGAGAAGCGTCTTGTCACGGATGAGTACTCGTCTAGAAATTTGTGAGAAATTACAATCTCAAGCTTTCAAGCTGTTAGAATTTGTTGACTTTTAGATTCTAGAGTTAGGGTTTTATTTTTTTCAATGCAAACTTTGTCTCGTTGTGCGCCAATCGAGGATCTTTCCAGAATTGTTGAAAGTAAACGTCGAGTTGGAAATCCTAAAAATCTTTTTTTAAAAACAACGATTCAAACTAGTTCAACTAGTTTATTGATAACCAAATTTGAAAGAAAGAATTTGATTATTTGAAAGCAATAAAGCAATTTGTTTGAAAGCATTATTTGAAAGCAATAAAGGAATTCAGAGTTTGTGTTCTTTTTAATTGCATAAAGTAATGGATTTGTGCGAATTTTAAATGTAAATCAGAACTTTTTATAATAAAGAAGTATTCTATTGAATATTTGATGCTTTTTACTTTATTAAAGGGATATTAATCCCGGCCGAGTGACCATAAAAAAAATTTTTTACGGCAACCACCTGTTTTTTAATTTTAATATCGCTGATTTTATTATAAAAAGAATAAAAATCACCCGGCTAGAGTGATTTGATGGGTTTACAAATTTTTGGAGACACTGCAAGGCTTGGAGAAAAACAAGATCATCACTCATCAGACACCTCAGCTAAAAGGCACCTATTTGAGAAAACTAAAACCACAAGCGACCACAAATGGAAAAAAGATCTAATTGTGTCAATCAAAGCGCTGAAGAAGTCCTACGGTGGAGGAGATCCAGTCATTTCGCCTCCATAACTCGACAAAGCCAACGGGCGCTAGTTGCGCTGCTCCAGTCAAGGCGACGTTACCAGTTCGCGTCTCAGTTCCCGGAATAAACGATTGCGTGGACCAACGAGTTCGGGAATAATTAGTACAACCACAACGGATGATTGCTGTCATGTTCGATCCATTTGTTGTCCATTCAATCTTTCTTTCTTGCCCTGTGTTTTGACCGCTTGGACGTTTTCCACAATCTGGGCACCTTTATAATAGTTTTAGCATAAAAACCAGTTGTTGTCAAGACTGTTCGTGGGCCAGATTTTTTCAAATCAAACCATGAAATTAGGCTTAGCTTTTGTGAGAATAGCCCTGAGCCCGCTTGCTGCCGGAAACTTTCCATGGATTTAAAAAGATTTAATACACGAGCCTTGCAACGTCTCCAAAAATTTGTAAACGCATCAAATCACTCTAGCCAGGTGATTTTTATTCTTTTTATAATAAAATCAACGATATTAAATTGTAAAAACAGGTGGTTGCCGTAAGAAAATTTTTCTGCCGGTCGGCCGCGATTAATACCCCCTTTAAGAAAATTTTTATGATTAAAATCTCACCATTGTCTGTGTCCTAAACGAGGACATTCCCTCTATGTACATCGCTAAACGAACGACTGTTGGTTGATCTAAAATTAACTTTTAATTCAAAGAAAAAACCCAGATAAAGCTAAAAGTTTGTGTGGAATTGAATATTCGGGAAATTAGGAGGAACAAAAAAATGAAGAGTGGACTAGTTAAAGTATTAGAAGAAGGGAATAGAAAGGAATAGAACGGCAAGGAATGCCGTGTACTTTGAGCTCTCGTAAGCATATGCTTTCTGGTCTACTTGAAAAGAAATATAAAGATAAATCAATAGAATTCGAAAGTTAAAATACAAATTTGCACTTTATGAATCAAATTTGTATTTAGAAGGGTTTTTTTCAATGCAAATTTCCCAATTATCTGTTTAGCTAGCTTTCTTAAGCTTTCTTCTAGCTTTCTGTCAGTTAGTGTGCGTTTATTAGAGCACAAAGTACGAGCAATGCCTTGCCAGGATGAGAGAGAAAGAACAATTCTTCTAGAAGGTCTGTGCAGGCTTTTCACAAGCAATTTCACAGGCAATTTTAGACTTTAGCATACTAAAAAGATATTCACAAGGGAATCTCAAAAGATTTGGTGACCAAATGACATTTGTCATGGATTATTCGACGCAGAATTCAACGCAGATTCCGAATCTGCTTTCCGTTTTTGCAACGCAGCACTCTATCAAAAGTTATAAACGCTTAAAGTCTTGTATGTTAATAGAAACAGACTCTGGGCTTATAACTTGATTTACCACGAGGGAAGAACTATCGTGGTGGCTGATTGGTAGTGGGCTTGAATACGAGGCAAGACTCGTCCGTTCAAGTCTTGCCTTGCCCATGTCAATGTCATGGTGGCTAAGTGGGCCACCATGACATTGACATGGTGGCCCACTTAGCGTATTCAAGCCAATTCAAGCACTTAGCGTATTCAACTGGGCAGTCGACTTGAATACGAGACAAGACTCGTCCGTTCAAGTCCTGCTTTCGACTTTTGTTTTTGCTTCTTTTAGTTTTGAATGGTTTGAGTTCAAATACAAATTTATCTTGACACTGTAATGCAAATTAACATAGCTTACTATCCTTTTAATCAATTCTTTTACCAAACTGTTGAATAGAAGAGGCTTGCATACGAGGCAAGGCTTCGGTTTCAAGCCGAGGGTTCGACTCCGGGATTTGGCTTGCTTTCGCTTCTTTTAGCTTTGAATGTTTAAGTGTTCTCTGTTTCAAGGACATTTTGACATTGTTCTCTAAGAAATTGTAAAGCATCTGGCTCTGGATATACAGCCAATAACCATCGCCTGCAACTCTTTCTGGAGTCGAACCCTCGGCTTGAAAGGATGATTATACTGTATACTGAAGCCACTGATGATTGAAGCCTTGCCTCGTATTCAAGCCTCTTCTCTTCAACAGTCCGGTAAAAGAATTGATTCAAAGGATAATAAGCGATGTTAATTTGCATTACAATGTCAAGATAAATTTGTATTTGAACTTAAACCATTCAAAACTTTTAAAGAAAACACTCAAACCATTCAAAGCTAAAAGAAACCAAAAGAAAAATCGAAGGCAAGACTTGAACGGACGAGTCTTGGCTCGTATTCAAGCTCACTACCAATCAGCCACCTAGGGAAGAACTCAGCTACCTAGAGAAGAACTCAGCCACCTAGAGAAGAACTCAGCCACCTAGAGAAGAACTCAGCCACCTACCGAAGAACTGAGCCAGTTCTTCCCTCCTGGTAAATCAGGCTATAACCTTTTCCTTTCTATTTCCATACAAAACTTTGAGCGCTTATAACTTTTCACAGAATGATGTGTTGCAAAAACGGAAAGCAGATTCGGAATCGGCGTTGAATTCTGCATCAGCTCATGTGATTTGGCCACCATATCCTGTTGAAATTCCCCTGTCAGCTAAGCTTTGATTAATTTTTCTTATTTTCAAGCTTTCTATCAAACAAAGCCTTTTTTTTGTGATCATTTTTGCGATCATTTTTGCTTTTCACTCACCACTGCTCTTCAGCACGCCTTTTTGATCTTGAAATTTGATTTTTAAGTAACGCATTCTTTTTTGTGTACTTTGTACTCAAAAGCGAGAACGCACAGCAACTAGCGCATCAATATATCAATTTAATGCTCTAGAAAAGCTGAGTTTACGTTTTTTGAGTTCAAAGTACACTCAAAAAGCTATTAATAACCACAAAAAACCTGTAAATCAAAGTTTTATAAAGCTAATAATGCAAAAGTTTGCTTCAAATTTAGCTTAAAATTCCCAAAATTGATGCCCACTTTCATCTTGAACAGGTGGTGATTGCTTGTCGTAAATTTTCCTGCCCGCGTTCAGCATCTCATCCATATACAAGGGTATCGGCTCTGAACGAGTCGCTTCAACTGCCCAAATTCTAAAAAAAGACTTTAGAAGTATATAGTAATGAAAAAAAATCTACTGCAACAAGCCAAACACTATTTTTAACTAAACAAAAGAATTCTTTCTATTGACCGATTGTTTGAAACAGCTACCGTAAATACTGTAATAGTACCCCACCGCCATAATAACGGTGCGGAGTGCTGCGTAGTCTAGCTTTGAACGAGTTTTTCTCGACACTGGTTTATGCTACAATGGGTTTGTACAAAAATAGCTGAACAGGCATTTTTGATACCAAAGCGCGCATCGTAGTATAAAGCAGCGCGGAGAACGGGATGTTGAAAGAGTGCCTTAGAAAGAACGCCCTTTACTCCTTTAGTAATCATTTCCAGCCCCTAGATTTTTCCCAACACCTTTTAATACGAAAAATACTAGTTTCAGGGCTATCATTTGACACCAAAGCGCACATGTAGCATCCAGCGCCGAGAACGGGACGTTCAAGTTGACTCGCGTTGTACGCCCGTCATTTGGGGTGGCGTCTATTAAGTTTTCGGTTTTTTTTCTGTTTCCAGGGTTGCCAGAAATTATGGTGCTTACCGTATCTGCAATTCCCCCCTCCATTGGCGTGCGAGTGTTGGGTGTCTGCTTTGACGGTTTTTCTCGACACTGGTTTATGCTACAATGCGCGCTTTGGTATCAAATAAATAGCCCTGAATTTCAGCTATTATTTGATACCAAAGCGCGCATCGTAGCTTAAAGCAGCGCAGAGAACGGGATGTTTAAAGTTAGACTACGCGACAATCCCGAAAAAACGCGTTTTTCTTGAGACTGGTTTATGCTACAATGCGCGTTTAGGTTTCAAAAAATAGCTGAAATTCAGGGCTATTTTTTGAAAGTACGGGTACTTTGAAAAAATGAAGTACTAAAAAACTTTTGCGACTACGCGACTGTACGAGGGCGGTGGGGGACTATTCCAGTATTTACGGTATGAAAATCCCTTTTTCCATCATAAACTCTGCAAACTTCTTGTAATTTGAATTTGAATTTCCAATAAAAACGATAGTAAAGAAGTGTTAGTAAATTCCTAAAGATTTTGATTGGTTAAAGAGACTAATTTACACGCATTTATCTATTTTTTATCTAAAAATTAACCCTCTTGAGCTCCCTCTTTGCGCCATGAAGCTAGAAGAAAAATGTAATAAAGAAGTGATGGAAAGAAAAAGCAGAGGGGATTGAACCCTTGATCTTTTACTTTTACTTTCCCGTCAATTTCCCTAAACATTGAGCTATTCGGTACCCTAACTTCCTAAGAGAAGGAGGGAAAAACAATGGGGAAGAAGAAAGGAAGAAAGAAAGAGGGAAAGCTTGGGTAGACTCTTGTAAAATAAAGTACAGATTCAAGGTTTAGCCTAATTTTCCTTTCTTTCAAACCTGCATAAGAAAATGAGCATTCCAACAACAGCCATCGCTCCTCGGGTCATCGTAATCGCATTGTTTCGGTAAAAGAATATATCTGCAAATTGAAAGTGTTAGCAGATTAATTGCAGGAAGAAGGAAATGTTTGAAAATAGAAGTCAGAATGATTGTAGGACATTTTATACGCCCCACCCCCTTTGCCATTGGCAATCGAACTTTAAGCTCAAATATCTTGGTGTTGAGCTGTCCAATCTAAATGTTCTTGATATCATTCGATGCGCCAAGTCTTTCTCTATCGATTGGTACAAAAACTATTTAAATTGGACAGCCCAATACCAAGAAATTTGAGCTCAAAGTTCGATTGCCAATGGCAAAGGGGGCGGGGCTTCGGGGTTTATATATTCGCATCTAATGATACCAAGAAGATTTAAATTAAACAGCGCAACACCAAGATATTTGAGCTTAAAGTTGGATTACTAATGGGAAAGGGGGCGGGACCTCGCGTATAAAAGGTCTCACAATCGCCCCGCCCCTTTTGCCATTGGCGATCTTACTTTGAGATCAAATTTCTTGGCTTTGGGTTGTCCAATTCAAATAGTTTTTGTACCAATCGACAGAGAAAGACTTGGCGCATCGAATGGTATTAAGAACATTTAAATTGGATGGCCCAACACCAAGATATTTGAGCTTAAAGTTGGATTGCTAATGGCAAAAGGATGTATCAAATCAAATCAAATCAAAAGGATGTCCAATAATCGAGATACTCGCCTTCCTCTCCTCCAACTCCAAATTCACACTCAAAGAACACTTTTTCAAACCCAAAAAAAGTGCTTTTCAATGTTTGAGCGTCATAGTGTAATATATTTTCAATTTGCAGAAGATTTCAGGGATCAAAAATTGAGGTGAAGAAAAGGAAAGGGGAAAGGGGTTCGTAATTTCCCCTCAGGCAAGAGTTTTGCTCAAAATTGAGGCATTTTTGGTACTCAAGAGAAACAAATATTGATCATCGATGGAAAATAGACAAAAGTATTGAATAGATATTATTGTTTAAAACGAAGAGTAAGTGAAAAAAAAAGGAATTAAGCTTCAAGAACTGATAATGCTAAGAAAAATAGGAGAACGAGTGATTTCTGGATTTTTTTTTACGTATTTGAACTGCAAATGGAGTCAATGATGGGGTTTGCGTTCTTTCCATGTGTTCAATTCCAAAATCTGTTAAACTTTACATTCGGTTCGGCTCAATTACCCGATTTGGGTAAGTGAAGCTGGTGAGAAATATATGTAGTTTTGAAATTTTGAATCTAAAGAACTAAAAATCCATTCCAAAAGGAGATGGAACAGAGACCTGGGACCTGGGACAGAGACCTGGGACCTGGGACAGAGACCTGGGACCTGGGACAGAGACCTGGGACCTGGGACAGAGACCTGGGACCTGGGACAGAGACCTGGGACCTGGGACAGAGACCTGGGACCTGGGACAGAGACCTGGGACCTGGGACAGAGACATGGGACCTGGGACAGAGACCTGGGACCTGGGACAGAGACCTGGGACCTGGGACAGAGACCTGGGACCTGGGACAGAGACCTGGGACCTGGGACAGAGACATGGGACCTGGGACAGAGACATGGGACCTGGGACAGAGACCTGGGACAGAGCCTGGGACCTGGGACAGAGACATGGGACCTGGGACAGAGACCTGGGACCTGGGACAGAGACCTGGGACAGAGACTTGGGACCTGGGACAGAGACCTGGGCCACGATACAGACCACCGAACGAGCACTGAGAACGACACATCGAGCCCTTGAAAGGAAGAGGTACAATAGGAAGATGCAGCTCGACCAAGACCTAAGAAGTACGGATATGCGCCAGCATATGAACTCAGAGATCCAGTGGAAGTGATCGAGAGAAAAAGACTCAGATGAGCCGACCACGTAGCCGATTCCGATAGCCAGAAGAACAGACGACAGATGGACGATACGGATCACAGAGGCTACCACGAGGCCAGAAGAGGCCCATCGGAAGACCAGCAACGAGGTGGAGCACAAGAATGGCAGAGACGGTCAGGATGGCTAGAGTGCAACCACCACCAGCACAAGCAAGTCGAAGACTTCGAACCAGGAACAATCAAGATAGAAAACACTGGATGACAATAGCAAGGGATAGAGAAATGTGGAAGCACGTTTTGAGCTGCGCAAATAGGAACCCCTAAGTGCGAAGACAAATCAAAAAAAGGTGATGGGAAGCCAAAAGTTAGTTTTATTCTTTTATTCTTTACAAAACAACAATATCTAGCATATTTGCCTCAAATTTTTGGTTCTCCGATTTGGATAATTGATTCAAAAGACAGATTTCACTAGAAAAACTGGGATCTGGCTCAGGATGCGATTAAGATCCGATTAAAGACTTGGGTAACTGAAACGACGAGGTTGATAAGTGTATTTGAAAAGTTTTTTTAGAATAAAATAAAGTTTTAAAGCGGAAGAATAAACCAGAAGAAGGAATACTTTTCGCAAAATGTTTTTAAAGTTCAAATTTTTATGTTCAAGAAAATTTGAGAATAGCTATCTATTATAAAAGATAATAGGCCGCTAGAATAAGGAAGCTTGAATTGAAAGCTTTGATTTGAAAGCTTTAATTGAAAGCTTTAATTGAAAGCTTTAATTGAAAGCATTAATTCAAAGCTTTAATTCAAAGCTTTAATTGATAGCTTTAATTCAAAGCTGATTTACGAGCTTCACGAGCTTTATTAAATATGTTCTTTTGAGTTAATCGACTGGCCGAGAAATGGAAGCTGTTGCTCAACGCTTTCCCTGAAACGCTTCGTCACTTTCAACTGGAGCAAACGGTTGCCGACATCTCAGCAAGCAAACTGGCCGACTTCACGATCAAGGTCTGTAGCAGTGCTGAGGTGGCAAGGAGAGAATTCGCGAAAGGATTCGACAAGCTAACCATCTCTCTTAATTCAATTCTCTTTAATTCAAAGCTTTAATTGAAAGCTTGAATTGAAAGCTTGAATCCAAAGCTTTTAAGCTTGAATTGAAAGAATTTGAATGAATCTTTGATTGAAGGAGATTTAAGCAGAAAATTCTTTTCTCGTAAATGAAATATTTCAGAGAAATCTCTTTTCTCTGAAAAGAAAAGCACAATCCCAAGCACAAAGGCTATTCTCCTGCAAAACTCTTCCTTATTTTTTCAACTTCAAAAAGGGATCTTGATGATGGAAATTTGAGAAATGTAAGTGTATGTAAGTGATCGAAAAAAATAAGCAAAGATTGTGATTGAAGCATTGGAATAACGTAAAAATTGTAGTACTTTGTAAACGAGCTGTACTTTGTACTTTGTACTTTGTTCTATATGAAAAACAAGGTTTCAAATCGAGAGAAATGAAGGAAAACGAACGCTCAACACTTTTTAGCTCAAAGAAATTTCTCTGAACAAGATATGATAATACTTATTGGGATACTCGGGCTTAAAAGTTGGCTTTCAAGAATCAGAATCTTTTATATATTATTCAATGCGTTTTATTCTTTTCTACAACTATTTCCTATATGAAAAACAAGATTTCAAATCGAGAAATGAAGAAAAATGCAATTTTTGCTTTCCGTTTCACCTTAAAACGTAGATAATTGAGCGAAAAGTATATAAAGGTTTCTTCTAATTTCATTTTAGCATTTACATTCTTTTCTTTTGCATCTATTTTCTCAAATTTAACATTTAACAATATTCAACTTGAGTTTTAAATCGAAATTTTCAAATTTCAAATTTCAAATCACCCTAATAGTACTGGGATGTTGTCGAAACAATAAGAAATATTAATAAGTACTCAATTGATTGACTACAAAGTTAGCCGTAAGTTCTGGGATAAACCTTGGAGCCTGTAAATCAGCCTAGATCAAATCGGAAATACTTTTGTGAGCTAGTCCAAGCCTGACCTTGGATCTTGCCTGGTCTGACTTGCAAAAGTCGCTTCGAGGATTGTTTAGCCATTATGATGGTGTCAGAAATGTCAGAAATGTCAGAAATGTCAGAAATGATGCCTTTTTTTAGGTTGTTCGGATATAAACGAGCGTTTGCCTTGCTTAACTCCTGAGAAAGCCATTTCCATCTGATCGCCTTTCCAATGGCGTGGAAATGCCATTGGAATGGTAGAATGCTCATCAATAGTAGAATTTGAACATAGAAACTGTCGAGCAAGTTCACGCGTCGTTTGACATGGATCCGATTCGATTGCAGCCCTCAAAATATCGTTGTCTACCGTTTGAGGTCGACGAGAGTGTTCCTCGAGACTTTCATCACCATTCCGAAAGCGTTAGAACCAGGCTCGGCATCGGCTTTCGGACAATACATCATTCCCAAATGCTTTGACCAAATCTCGATGGGATTCCGCGGCTGTTTTGCCCAATTTAAAGTCGTAAAGTAGGCAGACGCGAACTTGAAATTTTTGAAGTCGGTCATCTAAAGCAAGAAAAAAAATCTTAAAAATAAGAAATTATCCGTTTAAAAAGATTCCAAATATGCACAAGATAAGGTACTTTTAAACACAGAAAGACATATTTTAAAAGCTTCTCTCACAACAATAAGTTTAGCAACGCTTGTTTATATCCGAAGAACCTAATAATTTGAAGCAAAAGAAACTAAATGCAAAACACATTTCCGAGAAACGAAACCAGACTCAGATCCAGCTTTCTTGTAGTCAATTTGCACAAAACAAAACAGCTAATGCTTAAATCTTTTCCACCCACTTCTTGCCCATGTAGATGAGTTGAAGAAATGGGAACACCCATGAAAGTCAATGTATCACGGTTCAACTCCCTTCTTCTTCTCCTCCTTTTCTGTCTCTCTTCTTCTCCTCCTTTTCTGTCTCTCTTCTTCTTCTCCTTTTCTGCCTCTCTTCTTCTCCTTGTCTCTCTCTTTCATCTTTCCCAAAAGCTCTCTTTTTCTTAAAATTATTATTCAAATCCCCCGACTTCAAATCATAATTTGAATGTTTTTTGATGTTTCCAAGTTGGGGAAAACTGTGAATGAAAATAAAGAAAAAGGAAATCTGTTATTTAGAAATAAGAAAAGTTACAAGAACAAAACAAAGCTCAATCCAAGTCTGAACACTTTTAACTTTTAAACAAAAAGCTCAATCGAAGTCTGAGTTAAGACAAATGAGTAAATCAATTTGAGTAAAGCAATCTAAAGCTTGTCCATATAAACCCACGCCTTCTGGTACACTAACCTATGTACTATTGGGTTGGGGAGAATGAGTGGGCGCCGAAAATGAAAAAAATGTCTAAAACTTCAATTCGACTTCGTGAAATAATATGCGTTTGATATGAGTAGAATGGTTAACTAATTCTCTACAAAATCACATTTAAAAGAAAATTCAAACAGCGCCTCCGCTCAAGAAAAAGCCATTTTTTCACAAAAACTACAAACTGTGATCTAGAAAAAACCATTGGTGGGATCTTCCTGCAAATTTGGCAACTTAAGTAATTGAATGTGCTCTATCTTTTTTATATAAACACCAAAGAAGGTTTATGTGAAAGAAACTGTTCAAATGATGAGTCGGACTCTTTGCCATTTTAACCAGCTGCGTTTCGAAGTTCATAAACTCCACGAAAGAAAAGCTTTGTGGAATCTTTCAAAAGTGATTTTGTAGAGAAATAGTGGATCCTTTTGATGAAACCAAACGTATGTTTAAAGAAGGCTTTATGTGTGCAAAAAGTCCCTTTAAAGTTTGGCGCCGACTCATTCTCCCCAACCCAATATTTAGCGCAAAGTAAGATTAATACAATTATTTGTCTTATATAGAGTGACTTGAGGTAGTATAAATCCAAAAAGCAATATTAAAAGTATCCGAGAAACGATAAAATGACGAGTACGAGCTGAGTTTTCACAACATTGCTGATGAATTCTCAACTTCTTTGAGATCATCCTCGTATTTACTCGAATCTCAATCCTTTTCAACCCATCACCCTCCATTGAGTGTTGAAGGGGTGACAAAATGTGATTACGGAAAGGATTTCACACAACTTCTTTCTAACAAAAAGAAAGCTCTTTTCTTTTGAAGTTGACCCCATCAAATCTCAAAACGGATTTTGACGACAAAAACGAAAATAGCTTTGTCTTTTTTTTTTTAAAAGAAAATTTCTCGGAGTTGAAGTTGAAGTGTGTGATCACTCAGAGAATGGATTGTGTTTACGAGAGAAGAAATTTTGACGTGTACTACTGAAGGGAATAAGCAGCTAGGGTAAATATGATGTTTAGATCAGATTCAAAATCTCGAAAACGGTAAGAGCTATCGAAAAATGGCTTTCAAATTTAAAAATCAGCATCTTTTAATTAAAATCAGCACTTACTAAAGTTTTTGAAGTTTGTCTCAACGGTTCAAAAAGTACAGTTTTCTATTTTTTCTATTTCTATGCCTTTAAAATTATGTTTAGTTTGAAAAATGGATCTTTGGAGTGAAGTTTGTCTAAAATTAAAACTTTGCTGATTGACTTTGTTTTATTTGTTAAATTGAAATTGAAATTGATCACAAAAAGCAGTTTTAACGTACCATCATTCGTTTTTGAAAAACCCCCAAAATTTAACTGCCTTATCCAGCACTTTAATTTGATACCTAAGCGCGCAAAAATAAATATCTACGTTTCTTTGAGTTATGTTAGAAGTTATGAGCGTTTCTTTGAGTTATGTTAGAAGTTATGAGCGTTTCTTTGAGTCTAAACTTACATTAGACGACGCGATACACCTATGGAGAAATATATCATTCTATTAGAAGAAATATGGTAGTCTTTTCTTTCGCAAACTTTTTTGTTATCCTCATCAATGGCGGTGTGTGCCGGGGTAGATGAGCACGGGGATTCGGGATTGATTCGGGATGATTCTTGGATTCGGGGTAGATGAGCACGAAGTCGGGTCGAACAACATCGTTGAGACCGGGCACTTACTGGTTGAGACGCACTTTGGTGATTGGCAATGGCTTGAGGGCTTTGATGAGGCGGTTCAAGATGGCATAGCGATGGCGAGTGATGACAACCATGGCTGGACGATGGTAACAAAAAAGTTGATGGCAACCATGGCATAGCACGTGGGGAAGAGTCTCTGAGGCATGGCCACATAGTGGTTGGATAAGGCAGCATTCGCGGTGGGCAAATAGACTTTTCGTTGACGTTTATTTGCAATGAGTCGACAAAGGTAGAAGTCACGGATGGCACAACGGATATGGTGATGAATTTGGTCAAGGAAGTCACGGATGGCACAACGGATATGGCCACGGATTTGGTCACGGAAGTCACGGATGGCACAACGGATATGGCCACGGATTTGGTCAAGGAAGTCACGGATGGCACAACGGATATGGTCACGGATTTGGTCACGGAAGTCACGGATGGCACAACGGATATGGTCACGGATTTGGTCACGGAAGTCACGGATGGCACAACGGATATGGCCACGGATTTGGTCAAGGAAGTCACGGATGGCACAACGGATATGGTCACGGATTTGGTCACGGAAGTCACGGATGGCACAACGGATATGGTCACGGTTTGGTCACGGAAGTCACGGATGGCACAACGGATATGGCCACGGATTTGGTCAAGGAAGTCACGGATGGCACAACGGATATGGTGATGAATTTGGTCAAGGAAGTCACGGATGGCACAACGGATATGGTCACGGATTTGGTCACGGAAGTCACGGATGGCACAAAGGATATGGTCAGGGATTTGGTCACGGAAGTCACGGATGGCACATCGGAGGCACCGACGGATTTAGGCTGAATGAGGGGATTGTTAAGTTTTCTTAGCCAGAGGCCAGAAGCGTTAAGGAGTCGGGTGAGGGGAGGGTATCTATCGGGGCGATGTACCAGATGGAGGGCGATTGTGCGAAGACGCAAAGAACACCTCGGCACTGTGTAAGAGACATACCAGTGATTCAATTTTTGACAAAATATAAGATTACTTTTTAAAAATAGAATAAGCTTTACTATTCACAGCTGACTTTTCAAAGTTCAGCCCTTTCCTCCTCAACTTTTGCTATACATTTTCCTTCCAAAACTTTCAAAAATCCCTAGGAAATGCTATTTTCACGGCTCTCTTTTTTCCCATATTCTCCAGGTGTTAAAGGGAATTTTTGACGCTGAAAAATTTCGAAAAGTCACATGTTCTTTCGAGATTTCGAGGTCAAAAAGGTCACATTTGGCCTTTTTCCTGAAGAAAAACCTTATTACCTTTGTCTAAAAGCCTTTAAAAGAGTACAATGAACCGGAAAAATGACCAAGAAGTTGGAAAAAGAATTTGGGCAAAGATTGGCTAGATTGAAGAAGAAAAGAATAGAATATTGTTTCTAATCTTGGCTGAATTCCGTTATGCTTGGGTTCTTCTGCTTGCTTGGGTTGTACTTTGTGCTGAAAGTAGAAACGCACTCTTTCTTGCTTACTGAAAAGGAAAAGGTGCTTGAGAAAATGAAAAAGCAAATGGGCTAGGAAGGAATACTAGGAAATGGGCTAGGAAGGGTACAATCCACACAATGATACAAAAGTCTAATATAAAGCTTAAAAAAGTAAAACTTTACCACGGTGGGAATCGAAGCAGCAAAAAAAGTTCTGTAGACGGGACTATTCCCTCGGTCACCCATCCATATCTTACATTCCAGTTGTTAAAAGTTCATTGAGAAATTTTACCAGCTGTGACTTATAACTTGATAAAGCAATACTGAAAATTCAAGATCTAGGGAAAAATTTGAAAACTTTCTTGCTAAACCTCGAAAAGCACTCAGAAACTCCAATCTTCTTCCGGTCAGTGAAAGTAATTTTAAGCGATTCGTATTGAGAAAAGAAGATTCCAAAAAAAAAGGCATCAAATCAGGAAATGCGAATGAAAAGAGGGGATTTAAGAAAAAAGAAAATGGAAGATGGGAGAAGACCAATTTCCACACTTTTCTCCTTCATAGATTACGTGAAGTGTTTGGGATGGAGGAAAATAGAAAAAAATCGTGGTTGAGGAAGCAATTTGCCATTTCTTTTCAGCCATTCATTCTCCTTTTCTCACACCTCTAACATGCATCCAACAACAATTTTCGGAGAGATTTTTAGGGATTGAGAAAGAAATGGTTTTGATAGATGACCAAGTATAACAGTGGAATGAAGCTCAGCTGTTATTTGTGCGCGTGCACAATCGCTCGCCATTCGGCACATCTGGAAAAGCTCGTATTTCTGCTAATAGAATGGTAGGAGCCATAGGAGCGTCGCGTAGTCTAATGTAAGTTTATTCTCAAAGAGACGCTAATAACATAGATATTTCTTTCTACGCGCTTAGGTATCAAATTAAAGTACAGAGACTTTCTTTGGTTAAATACCAAACCAAAGGTTAACATTAAGGCTTCCTGGGCCTTCCTGGGTCCTTTGAGGTTAGCACTAAGGCTTCCTGGGTCTTCCTGGGTCCTTTGAGGTTAGCATTAAGGCTTCCTGGGTCTTCCTGGGTCCTTTGAGGTTAGCATTAAGGCTTCCTGGGTCTTCCTGGGTCCTTTGAGGTTAGCATTAAGGCTTCCTGGGTCTTCCTGGGTCCTTTGAGGTTGCATTAAGGCTTCCTGGGTCTTCCTGGGTCCTTTGAGGTTAGCATTAAGGCTTCCTGGGCCTTCCTGGGTCCTTTGAGGTTAGCATTAAGTCTTCCTGGGCCTTCCTGGGTCCTTTGAGGTTAGCATTAAGTCTTCCTGGGCCTTCCTGGGTCCCAAGACCCAGGAAAAGTATCTTGAAAATATTTGAAGCCTCTTCCCATCAAGGTGATGTAAGAAATGCGATAAATAACCAAAAAGTTGATCAGTTTGATGCAAATTGGCCTTTTTGACCTTTCTATTGACCAGATTCTAAAAGCAACAGGAAGAATTTGCCTCAAAAGTCAATAATTTGCCACATGTCCCCGCTTTGCACTCACGAATTTCTCCCAAAATTGGACAAAAAAACCAAAAATGGGTTGCCTAATTTGGTGATGTCATCGCTTTTCTGAGATTGGACAAAAAGTAAAATGTAGTAAGAATTTTGTTTAGACTCAAGATCTATCTAAAAATAGAGAATTCAAAAAAAAAGCAATTCATTCTGCAAAATGGCTTCAGTCGAAAAAAAAACCAGGATGTGTCAGTTGGAAGAAAGTTATTAGATGACAATGCATAGATGATTTGTAGAAGGAGAAAGAACTCGTCTTCATTGAGAATTCATTCCTGACATTCATTCAAAGAAAAAGAAAAGAGAAAAGCTGAAATGGGCACATCGAATCGCAAATGGGGCAACTAGGCACAATAAGTCTCTCATTCGGATACTCACTCATAAACGTTCGATGGAATCTCATGTTTTCATTCTGTTGTAAAACAGATACAAAACAAAAGGTGAAATGAGTTATTTAAAGAGAGTCAGAAATGAGAAATTATGCCAGAAGCTAGGCCATCTTGCTAGACCTTATGAATTTGTAAGGGCTACCGTCTCTCACCAAAGAAGTGACTTAATGATGCAGTGATAGTGCCGCTGTCTTCCATTTTTGGCATCCTGATGATCCCAGAGTATTTGGGCCAGATCTGCAGGAAAGACACGCTAGATAAAGGCTAGACAAAGACAGGCTAGATAAAGACAGAAACCAGATTAGAAGCTCGATTCTAAACTTGATCCAATCTTTTCCTGTCTTAGAGCAACTCTAATGAAAATAAAGTGATACAAGCTTGTGTATTTCTCCTTTAAAATTCGTCCATTGCCTTTCTTTTTGCAAATTTCTGGGGATAACTCACTCTTTTTTTTCACTAGCAGAATGAGCACAAACTCTTTAAGCAGAATGAGCACTCTTTAAGGTTTATTCTTCGGGATTTGACTTAAGACTCACAGTCCTGGACAATGAAATATGATATTTGAAAAACGATCGTCACTTTCGCGCATCTGTAACTCCCTTATCTTTGAGTTTAAACTATTAGTGTTATACATTTTCTGAAAGCTCTTTTCAAGGGCTACACAATGGTAATATTAATATTTAGAAATACGGTAAAGACAAGGGAGTTACAGGCGCGCGAAAGTGACGATCTTTTTTCAAATATCATATTTCATTGTCCAGTAGTGTAGATTCCTCCAAGTTCCCCATTTGTCATGTAGGTATTTGATAGTTTCCAACGTTAAATCATCTCTTAACCCTCCGATACAACTTTTTAACGCTAAAGTTCTGTAGCTAGATTCTCTAGTTCTGCAGCTACAGTCCTGGGCAATGAAATATGATATTTGAAAAATGATCGTCACTTGAAAAACGATCGTCACTTTCGCTTTAACTCCCTTATCTTTGAGTTTAAACTATTAGTGTTATACATTTTCTGAAAGCTCTTTTCAAGGGCTACACAATGATAATATTAATATTTAGAAATACGGTAAAGACAAGGGAGTTACAGGCGCGCGAAAGTGACGATCGTTTTTTCAATTTCATTGTCCAATAGTGTAAGTGACTTAATGCAAACGCTTTTTGGTATATTCAAATTCAAAAAATTTTGTCTTAATCAATTGTTTAAAGAGCTAATTAAGTTAAAATAAAATAAAATAAATGAAATAAAAACAATAATAAAGTAAAGTTCTTGATTTTTATAAAAGACATCAATGATCATCGAATTGCAAAGAAAAATTTGCGAATTTTAGCCGGAAATCGCAACTCTTGACTTCAAATTTTTGTGAAAGAAGAGAAAAATCTTTTTCTGGAGGAATTTTCGAGGTGATTCTTGGGGATTTTTTGGAAAAAGAGTAGGTGGGAGAAGGCTTTGAAGAAAAGAAAAGAAAAGAAAAGAAAACATGAACTTAAAGACAAAAAAAGGAATTGACGTTGTCGAAAAAGGAATTCACGTTTCAGTCACCTTAAAGGTTGCTTTATAATTTGATGTTCGCTTGGTGAAAACGGAGCTCTAGGTGTTTTCGTTGAGGCATAGTTGATGTTCAATCCGTGTGCCGGGGAATGTGCGCTTGCATAAGCACAAGTATACATATGAATAGATGAAAATAAGCACAAAGTGGGTGTACTTTGCGCCCGGACAATTGCACGCTTTTTGGTGCAATGGTTTGTTGGAAGTCGTGCGATTTTGCCCACAAACACGCGCCCTCTAATCCACTCGACTTTCAACAAATCGGTGCACCAGAAAGTTTGCGTTTTCTTGGGCATAAAATAGCGTATTGGAATATTCCTATTTTGATCCTATTTTGATTCCTATTTTGATTTCTATTTTGATCTAATACGATTCCAATACGATTCCAATACGGTTCCTATTTTGATCCATCCAATACGGTTCCCATTTTGATCCATCCAATTCGATTCCAATACGGTTCCTATTTTGATCCAATACGATCCCAATACGGTTCCTATTCTGATCCATCCAATACGATTCCAATGCGGTTCCTATTTTGATCCATCCAATACGATCCCAATACGGTTCCTATTTTGATCCATCCAATACGATCCCAATACGGTTCCTATTTTGATCCATCCAATACGATCCCAATACGGTTCCTATTTTGATCCATCCAATACGATCCCAATACGGTTCCTATTTTGATCCATCCAATACGATTCCAATACGGTTCCTATACGGTTCCTATTCTGATCCATCCAATACGATTCCAATACGGTTCCTATTTTGATCCAATACGCTTCCTATTTTGATCCAATACGATCCCAATACGCCTTGTGAACATTTTCGTCTCTTTCTATATAACAAAACATTTCCAAAAACACCGAAAATTCATAGCATTTATCAATAGATGTTCACAAAT